AGATAAATATGTAGAAAAGAGGTCTTCATAAAGTAATTAAAACACAACACTGTACATGTACAGTATATGAAGTGCAATGTATTCAACACAGACCTGGCTGGACTGGGAGATCCGTCTCGCCCGGTTGTGCAAGCTCATCGCATCGGTTTCTCTCGTCCTCTCTATGCTCCACCCCCAGGCCAGCATGGTCTTCAGCGACTCCTTAATAGGCCACCGATACACCTCCTTGTCCTGAATAATGCAAGGGGCGCCCAAAGAAAAAAGATTTTGGCTTGCTGAAAGCTTCCCTTACGAAAAGTCTGGCATCATTCTTGCACTGCTGTTCATGCACATCGTTACACTCATTTCTTCGATGACGTCATCCCTTCAAAGCGATTTTTAACACGTTTTCAAAGTGAAATGCGCTGTGCACATGTGTTAACTTTTCATGATCATTCAAAATGTATTGTTCATGCTCCTGATACTATAAAGTTCTGCTGTGCCAGGAGAAGGGCTCTGTGAACGCCCCATCTGACCGGTTTTATTAAAGGGTAGTCTGCATCTGGCCAACTCCTCCTCACAGCTACCGACACCCAGTGACACCCAGTGGAAATTTGAGATTTCAACTTGCTTTCATGAAAATATCCACGGAGATAGTCTTAGACTATAGGGTTATCTGATATTGGGTTTCATGAACAAAGTTAAGATTTTAGATCTGAAAGGTTCAGTAAAGCCAGCATTACTACCTTTACATTCTCCAAAGAAGAAAACCATCTCACTGGTACTACTTAAGCTGGCGTAGTAATCAGTTGTGCTACTGTACACTGTGCTACACTTCATACAGTAGATCTTGATGCTGAGATCTGCTCCTTTCTAGGTAAACAATTTTACTAACATTTGGGACACATGGAAGAAGATTTAAACAGATGCACACATTTTCCCAATTCCCTTCAAGATCATGTCTCCATAACAACAAGAACAAAAATGAACGTGATTCTTCACTTTAATTTTGTAGTCCTTTTGTAGGCTTTCTTTCCCCTGCTTCAGGGTACGGGGTCAGAGTGTATCTTTAATTTCTAAGGAAAGTGTGGAAACCGTACGTTCAACTCTCCAATATGCGGGATGTTGGGCTGCTGTGGTGTTGTACTGATCTGTTATCTGTACTGATCTGTCTACTTACTTTGTTTTGATTCACAAAAACTTTGATATGCAGTATCAAAAAAATGAAGAAATTATGTACAATAGCAAGATATAACCTCATAAGACTTATTATGAAGTATCCAATCATATTATTGTATTGTATGTACAATAAAGAGATTTTACGATCGGTCCTAAGACATTACTTCACTGTCTTCCATCCCTTTACCTTTTCAGAGAGCAGCTTGTATGGTTTCAACAGAGGGTGAATCCTGGAGGTTTCACACAGAGGGTCACCGTGTGCCCAGCCATTGGCAAACTGAAAATAAATAATTCACACAAATGTGAAATGCATTTTTCAAGGACTAAACAGGAAAAAAAACACTTATATTACTAAACGTTAATAGGACTGTAGATAATCATAGCTCTTTTGAAAATATACCATGGCAAATCTACACAGTTTCATTGCTGTTTTACTTTAAGTTGCTGGATTATACATTAATAAATTCTGCTTTACCTTGTCCATTGACCACTTCTCATGAGAATGTTCTGCATACTTGTTTATGAAGTAGTCCAGTTTTTCTGGGATGTTTACACTAAAAGATATTATTGAAATTAAAGATTAAAAGCCCAGTAGCATTTTTTAGACAACTTTCAAACCATGAAAACACAGGCTTCATACACTATAAGAAATAAGAAAGAAAACAGACAAGAACATTTTACTGTGGTAGCACTCCTTTCTACAAGTGATAACAGAAGAATTTTGAATAGTGAAGAAAAACCTCTGAGAAGGTAACGGGGAAAGTTGTGTCCCAGTGTGGCACAGTGGTCAGTATAACTGCTTCACAGCTGGAGCTCTGGGTTCAATTCCAGACCTGGAGTACTGTCTGCATGGCGTTTGTATGTTTTCCCCATGTTCACATGGGTCTCCTCCCACAGTCCAAGGACATACTGGGAGGTTAATTAGCATCTGGGTGAATATGCCCTGGAGTGTGTGTGCACGTCTGCGTGCCTGTGAGTGTCCTGCAATACACAGGCATGCTGTCCAGGGTGTACCCTGCCTTGTGCATTTTGATCGCCAGGATACGCTCGGGCTTCCCAGCAACCCTGTATTTACCTTGAGGTGTCAGCAGGCTGTGGGTTAAAGTTTCCCTCTGCGTCCATGGAGGACTGTTTCTCCATCATGGCAACATAGTTTGACTCCATGTAGTCTGGAGGCAAGGCCCCTGCCACGGCACTCAGACATGGCAGCGCCAGCTTAAACAGCTCCTGGTCATACTTCTGCATGGCACAGAAAGCAGGTCCAATTCAATCATGGGAAACGTTCAGAAGAGCTACTGTACATCAGGGTCTGCAGTCCAGGTCCAGAGGAGCCAAAGACTGTACTGTAGGCTTGACAGGAAATCCTGAATGATCCCTAAGTACTGTAAAAACTCAGCAAACCTCTACAGTAAACTGTGTCCTAGGCAAACAAATAATTGGTGCAGATAAATCATGACTACAGCTCTTCAAGGTCTGGGCTGCAGGCCTCTGTGCTAACTCATACAGCAGGTGTTTTTATAATTGGTAAAGCACTGGATATTGAGTTCATTTTCATAAGTAATTTCATAAACTGGAGAGTTGAGAGTGTTATTCCCAAGTAATTAAGACAACAGCAAAAGGGACACACAACAGAACAAATTATTAAGGTTAAAGCAAAAACCTTAACCTGCAAAGGAGACAACTGTATGGTTAGAAGAAAAGGGGTATTTATTCAGTGCCACTTTAAAAGTATTCAAGATCCAAAACATCTACAAAGCACTTTCAATTAGTGAATACAATGATACTATTTAACCACTAGAGGTCCTCAAAATATTGTAGTGTAGCCCTTCTTTCTTTAATGTTTCTTTAATGCATTTTATACTGACAGTGTTTATATTCATATCGAATACTAATACAAAAGTTAAAAAGATTAACTATTTTGAAGAGTAGTTTCCCAAACCGTGAGATTCCTCTGAATAAACTCAAATCATCTCTCTATCTTCTTTCTCGTAGTTCAGTGATAACCTCGTGATAAACAAAAATCAGCCGGGACTCTTGGAAAATGATGGATTAAAATTACCTTCTGAGACAAGGCATCAAATATCCCCCAGAACAGCTTCCTAGATAAGTGCAGCTCCTCTTCGGAAGCAGCTCCAAAGCTGCCCCACCCTCCTGGCAGGCAGTAGTATTTCCAGCATCTCTCATAGTGGTTTGTCAGCAGCTGCAAGAGCATGTACAGTGTGCATCACTCTGCTTTCTACTACAACACCGCCACAAAGGCTTAGGCACAACAGAGTACAGGGTGCTGTATGACTCTTTGGCACACAATCAAGTTATACCACAGAAGAACAGGGTTTATGTGGGAAAGCACAGAGCAGGTGAACATGCAGTATATAGAGTACTCTCAAAGATTAAGGAATAAGCACTCCACCTTATTCACAGCCCTCTCACACAAATGACCTCAGCACCATGCAGAGAGGACAGAGCAAGAGTGTGGAAAATACAAACCTTGAGGGGCATTTTGGTGTGCTCATTAAGAAGAGGAACATCAAAGACGAGCCTCCTTAGAAGGTGCTGCATCATAGATGGTCTCAGCTGGCTGTAAAAACATATTTGTACATACAGTACACACGCAAAGACATTTCATTTAGAATCTCGCACACTGTTAAACCACTATAACTGAAGACCTGTTACTGTCACGCCCGACATCCCTCCCTAGAGGGCGCTCCACTGCTCCCATTATTGTTCGTGTCATTTAGCTCTCCAGGTGTACCCTTTTAGCGTTATTACTTAAGACCAGCTCCTCCAGTCCTCGGGGCTCATCACTAGGGTAAGATGTCGCGAGGCCCGCCTGGCACCAGGAAACCCTACGTCCTTCTCCTGAGGGCATAGGCCTCATCCCCGACACCTCCCGCTCCCTGAGCCCGGGGTCTGGAGGATCTCGCCCCGTCACCCTTGGACCTCCATGTCTCGTTTGTCCGTGTGTTCCCCCCTCCCGGGGATTTTAACTTTGTCGCGTTCCAGGATGGATTTCTTGTTGATGGACTCTCGGACTGTGCTTTGACCTGCCCTTGGACCCGTTTGGATTTGGATGCCGTTTTGTCTTCCCCGTACACTGTCTCACGGACTGTCACTATTATTTTGTGCACTATTAAACCCCTGTGTGTTCCCTTTTACCACACCTCCTGTTTTCTCCAGCTCTTACCGCATCGCATAGGGTCTACTACAAGATCTGACACGGATTTCAGTCCGTGTTTGTGACAGTTACATTGTCTCTTATCTCATTCTTAAAGTAATGTGCTGTAATGACCTTCCGGCAGCGTGCTTTTTTAAAATAGGCACTACAGCCACAACAGAGACATGCTCACATGAGAAAGAAAACTGATGAAAAGTGTCCTTAATGGATACACAACTAGTTTTGTACAGTAGATCTCAATACACAAATAACTGACTGCAAACCAAGGCCACCCTAAACCCTCTTAATGCTCTTCATTTCAGTTATTAAGAGAAAAGAAAGTTGGGGTGATTATGGGTCTGTGGTATACAGTAAAATTTGTCTTTGTTCTTTTTCATTTGCCCCTTCATTAGCTGAGATCAGGAGACTGAGAACAGGCCCTTGCTTTTCATTACTGAGCAGTCTATGAATATTTGACAAGCTCTTTTGTTGGGAGTGTGAAAAAGGTATTGTTCCTGTGCTTACCCACATACAGCCAGCAGACACTCCTCAATGGAGTCCCTCTGGGCCTTGGTGAGACAGCAGCCCTTGGACAGGCGATACACAGTGTGCAACAGGGAGTCGATAAGCGAGGCAAAAGGCTCCGTACCCGCAAACAGAGGAGCGCACTTCGTTAACAAGGGCAACACCGCAGTGCACAGGTAGCGGTTCAGGGCCAGAGCCATGTCAGTGGCACTCAGGGAAGCCTGGGATACCAGAGACAAGAGAGAGACAGAGAGGGGCAAGTTGTTTTACAGCAGCAGTGTTGGTGTACAGACGGACGGAAGAAACAAAAATGACAGGAACAACAATATACATACATATTTGCACAGAAGGTCAAGTGTTAAGTAACGATATGGCTACAGGTATGAATGAGATCTTAAATTTGTTGGTTTTGGAGCTGGGGAGTTGATATTCACATTCTGATGAGAGTAACTTGAAGTTCATCAAACAAGAGGTGTGAAAGATCATCGCGGATGGATTTTGCTTCACTCAAAGCATGTGAATGATAGATGAAGGAGAGGGCTGGAAGATCGACGCCAACGACCTTCTGCCATAATTTCAAAGTTTGTTCTTGCTTCTCAGATTTAGGTTGCCAAACCAGCAGATCAGGGTAAAAGTTAGGACTGATTCTAGAACAAAATCAACAATGAATCATCGACCTTAAAATACTTAAGCTTCCTTAAGAAAAAAGGACGCCGTCAACCTTTTCTGAGGATCAGGTCAGAATGTGAATTACTTGCGATCTGACTGTTTTAGAGTACACACCTCACTGCTGGGGAATCTGCTTCACACTTGCACTAAGGTTAAAAGCTGCCTCACCGTGTCTAGAGAAGCAGCAGCTCGGAGGTCAGGGAGAAAACCGACTTCCAACAGATGCAGCAGGAAATTCTGGTCCTCAATTCCATACACTCTGTCCAGGAACAGAACCATCGCCGCCTTATGATCCGGGCAAAAGCCAGCTGACATGTCAGGCTCCACCACAGTTCCATCTGCAGACAAAAAGCAGAACTGAAAATTCTTGTTTTTTGTTATATCAGATACTTTTCCCTGTCTGAAGCACAGCACAGCTGTCAGATATGTCTTTTTTATTTTTATGAATTTCTTTAAATTTAGGAGAACTATTAGTTCAGAACAAAGCTTTGAAATAGCTCTGAAATATACTGTAGCTTTGAAACTATTATCCTAGCTGATCATCTAAAATGACATGGCAAGAATTAGAAACAACGGGTTTTTAAATAAACATAAAAAATTATAAGACCAGATGTGAAATTGTATCCTAATTTTGGGGGGAATCTGAAGATTCAGGCTGCAATGGATCATTTTACCCAGGACTGACCTTTCGCCAGTGTTGGCATGGGGAAGGGAATACTGATGACGCCTTCTAAATCCTCTATAGGAATTAGGGATCGGAGAATAGCGCGGATCCTCAGTGCTTCACCCTTGCCAGCATGGATTAACTGAGCAACAAAAAAGGCAAAATACAGTCGGAATACATCTCACACCATGAGAAACACTGCACCATCCCTGTTCAAACTGAAAAAAACAAAAACGTACAAAGTAAGTTTAACATAATCTGATATAATATGGTTATATTATAATATGACACATAATTATTAACACATCCTGGAATAGCCACCTTGCTAGTGGCTTATCATCAGTAATTTGCCAGGCTATTGCATCCATTGTCAAACCAAGAGTAACAGCGGCTCATTACTTACATGCATTTCAGGAGCACAGCGTCCTAAAAGATCAATAAGGGCAGCATAAAAAGTCATTATGGCATTCCCCATGTGGATGGTGTCGTCTTCTTCCTCTTCAAGAATATCGCTGTTGAAATTATAATGCAGAATATTAATTGCTTCCTCCTTACTCCAAAGAGAATCTTGAAGATCCATGTTATTTGATTTCTAACATACAATGTGCTTCAAATTTAAATTTGCTGACAGTAAAAACGAAGGGAATAAATATACCTCGCAAAAAAGGACAACATAGAGGAATTCATATGAGCTATAACTAATTGACTAGCAAAGTTACATTTTGCCATCAACTCACAACTTCACATACTGTCTTACAGACCCCTGTAGTGAAATTTCAACAGGTTTTTCATCTCCAAGAATCCCAAAACACCTCACATGTAGGAGGAGACCGACTTCATCCAACACTGAAGTGCAGCCCCCACCTGGGTGACGAGTGGGAGCTGTCATGTGCCGATTGCCTCTCACAGACGACACCCCAGGCCTGGGGCTGAACCCCAAGGCCGCAATGCTAACCACTGCGCCACCATGCCACCCAACTAGTCAATCAATTAACAAGTAATAAATAAATGAAGATGCAGTGAACAGGGACACCCACAGAGGGGTCCTACAGGGAGTTCACCTACAGAGTTCTGCTGGATTCTGTGGTGGGGGAGGGGCCGTCCCTCGTGGGATCTTCCGAGATCTTTATGGCTTCCTCCATGGCAGCCAAGAGACCATTGCCGCCTTCTCCTCTCAAGGCAGGGCCGAAGCACTCCGGGCGGCGGATCAGAAGCCTCACCACCACGTTGGCATTCTCTTCAACACTCTCCCCTGCAGGAGTCGAGAGAGGGGGGAGGACACAGCAGGACCTTACCTTTACGAATCAAGAGAGGCGGCCAGAGCAGAATACCAAGTGCAACTTGGCACAGGGCACAGGGCACAGGGCACAGGGCACAGGATACTCAGCCGTAAGGCAGGCAAACCGAAGGAAACGCCAGAGACCATGATCAAAAAGGAAAGGTAAAAAGAACTGGAAATAAATCGCCTACCATTGCAAAACACAGCAAAGCGAAGGAAGTCTAAATAACGTTCTCCTTCCACAGGGTTCCAGCCAATATCTGGGTATCCTTTACAAACCAGCATCGTGCAGCTTTGTAAACCACATCCTGCCAAGTACTGCACGACCTACAAAGGCATCGGGGAAAAAATGTCATTGAAAGAAAATATCCAGAAATACAGGGAAACAACCGCATAGTTCTGGGGTTTATGGAAAAATCTCTATTGATTAATATGATCATCTACATAACATTTACCTTTTCTTCATAAACCTTAACACCAGAACTAAAATACAGAAAAATAGGACTCTTTCAAAGTATAGAAGAGTGTTACATTTTACAACATCTTTTTACAAGGCATGTTTGAAAGATAGCAGTGTTCTGGGATGTGCTTATGTGCTGATGTTAATTGCTGTCTGAATGATTCCCCAAATGGGCAGGTTTAAATGATAAATGGTTTGAATCTTATTCTGTGTAATGTCTTTTTATTGTAAGGTTTTAATACAGAAGATAGATTCCTTATTTATAGGGGAGCCGGTGTAAGAGAAAATGCAAATATTTGAATCACATAACTCACCCCATGCACATGTGTATCTAGAAAGCCTGCACCACGGTGAACGTTATTAATCTTAATTGTTCAGCAGGGGGTCCTACATTATCAGCTAGTTATTAATCATCATAATTACTGCCTAGGAAAGGTTAACATCCTCAAATGTGTCACCATACTGCTTGTTGGGCAATTTTGTTCCCCCTGCTGAGTGCTAGCAGATCATGACACAGGTAACTTAAATCAAGCAAACAGGGTTTCCACCTTTTTGATATTCTTATGTTCTTTTTGTAACATATGAAACAGATCTGTGCACAGGATGCCCAAAAATGACATAAGGAAAATAATTTATTTCTACTTTTGTTAAATGAGCCATTATAAAAACAGACTTCAGGGGTTTACCAGGGAAATTAGTTTTCCTTTATCTCATTACCATAAAGGAGATCCAGCCCACTTAACTTGAATCCTTTTCTTATTTGATAGAGGTTTACGTGGAAGAACCTAGGATTCTTCCTTGTGTTTGCATTCCTTTATTCCAGGAATATACCCTACCTTCTGCAAAAAACAGTAAAACCAACAGCCCAAGGGATCCCAAAGTGATTTAATTTTGAAGAGGGGCTGTGGGACCTCACACCACTGAAGTGCAGAACCCATCTGGGTTACAAACAGCAGCCATCATGCATCAACTGCCTGCACCATATACTGTAGCAAATCAGGTAGAAGAGTGAGAAACTGGTTCAACAATTGAATTGGGCCAGACTGTACAAGACCAGAGTGAAACGTATCCAGTACTTTGGGGTTAATAGCTCTACACTTTAAGTGAGATATACTGTACGGGAACTTTTCATCACAGTTTAATGGCTCATCCAAAGGGCGACATCCCCTACAGCAAAGCCCCCAATTACTACACAGAAGGAACTAGATCCGAAATTCTGTTCCAGCTCCAGAAAGAGCGCCACTTGCTGGTCCTCCACATAGTGTGTCAACGAGACACATGTGGTTTATAATGACTATGGAGTGAAACGTAAACAAAGGGTGTGAACACAAAAGAAACCGCAGAGGACTCATGGGACGGAGGAATGACTTACTTTCTCTAGGTCTGGTTCCCTTAAGGCTAAGGCAAGTTCATTGTTATCCATCACAGAGGCTGCTGCCACATCCAGAGGAGTGGATCCCCGCATGGAAGGCGATGCTTTAAAGAGGGGGTCAGTACAACACACAGAATCAGGCACAGGAACTGAGACAGGGCGAGTACTTCCTCAAGGAGAGGAATGCAAATACAAATGACAGCTTCGATACCTATCACTACAAGGTGCTAAAAAGGCCAGGTTTGCGTGTTTACAAAAGTTTTCTTTTTAAATGAAATCTGAAAAACCTCATTTTCAGTTAAATGATGTTGCACTGCTTATGGTGTTAGGAGTCACAGTGATGCAAACTAAAGCTTGAGAAATCAGTATCTGAAAATAATTTCTGAAGATGTCCTCCTCTAACAAAATGACAAAATTGATCATAAAATAATTCTGAAATAATTGACACCAAGATATGAACAGTTTCCCATAGCCAACTCAGAAAGACTCATGACAGTATCTCAGTAATGAACAAAAAAGCCAAGAGGTCTTACCAAGTCCAACACTGCTGTTCTCCAGCAGGTAACTGAGATGATCAAACATTGCCTTTTGGTTTTGTCTGCTGATGCGGCAGAAGTAACAAAGAAACCGACAGCAGTTGGCCACCATCTTAGGGAATGTGATCTCCTTAAAAAAAGGCACAACCCATGGAGAAACTGATTTAAATATAAAAAAACGTGATCTTGCAGATAATTTTTTCTTGATTTGGAAAGGCAATCTGCATTTACTGTTCAAGACTCAAGATGATCCCTGTTACCTTTGATTCACCACCTCCCAGGACATTGACCATGACTTCCATCACTGTTTCATGCATTCCCAGAGCTCTCATCAGGTTCGGATGCTGGTAGAAAACTTTATTATTCATAATATCCCTATGTGTGAAAGAGCACATGATTAGTCTTCATGGGAATAGCATTTATAGATTATATTTATGTACCACACTGCAGACTGTATTGCTCCAAGGCACAGTTTGCGAAAGGACCAAATGCATAGCCTTTGGTTAGAGTAACAGGACCCTTGAGGAAAATTACATTTGTCAAAGCCGAGCTCAGGTCCAGAGAATAAACACTGGTTATTTACCCGAGGCCGCGGATCATCAGCTTCTCTTCTTCCTTGCCCATCCTTACGCTGAGCAACGAGCGGATCTGCCCCAGGGAGGCCAGCAGGTTAATGGTGTCCTCCACAGAGATGGAGTTGATGGTATAGGTCTTGGGCAGAGCACGCACTTGTCCTCCTATGCCATCGTACTGCCTGTGCAGTAGCACAAACATGGCTCTGACAAGTTCAGGATCCTCTATCACGGACTCCTGGGCCCATCGTACCATAGTCTCCGAAATCAGCTGCTGCAGGGTGCCTAGCACAGAACAACCAGGGACAGAAGAGGTGAGGATCCAGGATTGAAACAAGACCTTGCTTCCATCCCTCCACTATCAGAAAGTTACCGTAAGTGCTCCAGGTGAGAACCACAGCCTCCCACCGCCTCTCCTGTAAACACAGGGCAAGGCAGGACTGCACCCCGGGCAGGACAGGCCTGCCCATTGCAGAGAACACACAAGCACACAGGGGCTGTTCACAGACCGGCTTCCATTTCCAAATCATTTTAACTCCAGGAGCTTTATTAATCATACAAGCTGAAGAGCTAGTTAGGATATAAAGATGAAATCGACAATAATATAAGGAGCAAACTGAAATATTTGCTGTAAAAAAATTATAGCTTCAGTCAAGATGGTGGTTGTCTGGACCACACACCCCAGAAAACTGTGGGGAAAGATCTGCCATCCTACAGTAAATCAGCTGACCAACTAGAAGATGACAACTGGTCAGTACCAGTTGGTCAGTATTTACACCAGTAAATACTGGCTACCAGGAGCAGTAAGCTTCTGCTGTGTAAGGAAGAGAACAGGACCTCTGATATTCACTGAACCTGAGGAAGACGGGAGCAAGGAAGCAACCAAACGAAAGGTCCATGGACAGTTTATTGTGAGTTGTTTTGGGAGAGTTTTGCATTTTTAATGCAGATAAGCAGCCTAGCTGCCTACGTGTATTGATAGTAAGGATATACTTTGCACGGAGTTAATAGTTATAAGAGGTATGTGTTTCTATATTTGTTTGTGAGTTAATTTGCACCTTGTCTGAATACACAGCACCCTTATGGGTGCACCAGTTGCTTAAGTCCCACCCATTTAAAAGATACCTGCTACTGCCACCAGAGGTGTTGCAATGAGCATTGTTCTTATCCAAACATCTTGTAAACTCCTTCAGGTTTAACTTTTGTTCTGAAATTAACAATTATTTAGCTAGAGAATCTCAAGAATACCAAGACAACCCACGACTGCCTCACTTACTTGGCTTCTTAGCTTTTTCTTTCTTTGGCAGGTCTGACATTCTCTTCTTCAGGTAGGCAACTTTCTCTACCAGGTACAGAAGTCTGCCCCGAATAGTGAAGTCACTGTCACCCTCACCGCCCCTGTCATCCTCAAGTTCAATTCCTACAAAATGCACACACACAACAGAAACTATGTAGATGTACTGTAGTCATCCAAAATGTCTTTGTGTCAAACAAACAGGATAGATAAGTTCATATTACAGCGTCTGCCACTAAAATGTTGATGCTGGGACCCATAATTCGAATTTGGTGAGTTCGTTTATTTTGTGTTGGCTCTACTGGTCCAGAAAACATTTGCAATGCTCACAGGCCATTCCACTAGTTTAGGTTTTAAATCACTCCACTGTCTCAACTGCACATTATTACAGAAAATGCTGTGAACAGGGTGTTTCTTCACATTCCTTTGTAACATAAAGAGATCATTTGCATTTGTACTTCAGAAAAAAAATGAATTGTACTTTACCAGTATTATACATTCCAGTTTCATCTTAAATGTACTTAAACACAGTTTAGGTTGATGTCAAAGCAAAAATAAAAATCAGTGTTGTAAATTATTCTCTTAAAATTTCCATTACAGTTTATAGAGTTTGCCCCATGTCGCTGTTCAGATTTTTTTGTTCACAAAATTCCATAAAAAAAACAATCACCTTTTAAACCTAATGGTTGTGTTTAAGATGACATTGACATCTGCTAATTTATTTTTCAAGGTGACTACAGTATGGGGAGCCTCTCCATTTCGAGAGATAATTGTCAACTAATTACCTGTTTTTGAAGCTTTAGATCAAAGGAAGCTGTGGAAATATGCTGATGAAACTTTTTTTTTAATTATGTACCCATCTCAAAGCGTTGAGTGAGTCTTATAATTAGCCTTAAAGAAAATACTCTTTCTAAAATAAAATAATAAAGTCCTCTTGATTTGCATAACTAACGAAAAAATAAGTTATCATCAACCCTTTCGACTAAAACATCTCAGTGTTTTATGTGCAGGAAAAATATAAATTGGAGTAAACCAGGGTATCTTAAATTGCCATATAAATACAAATAAAGTCAAGTCTTAAACTAAAACTGGTCTAGAATCACTGATGAAATGGGCGTCATGACCTCATAACAGGGAAGTACTGCATTTGCATTCATCAATAAATTCAATGGAAAACACATTTTCCTGTGAGACACAGTTCCCACTCAAGAGTTCTTTGGCCATGATGCAGGAGGTTTTTTTGTTTCTAGCTTAGCATTGAGTGGATTAATTCCAGTTCTACCAGTTACACCCTAAAACAGCTCAAGTACAATCTGCTTTGATCACCATCACATCGCTGTGCTTATACTGTATCACATTTGCATCACAGTTTTCTTCGTCTAGGGCCCTGAAACACAAGCTCTGGGGTTTATTCTCCTTCAGCGTGACAAGGCCCGAGGGTCAGCCTACCACAGTGGGTCATCAGGTCTTCATGGAAGTCAAGCAGCTGCTCTCGAATATCTTCAGGACAGGGGCAGTCCTGCTTGTCATCTTTGAAATTCAACAGCATGTTAATCTGTTGGGAGGATTCAAAAACACAATGACAAATGAAACACGAAGAACTTCGGCGCAACTTCATTACCATACAACTCTCTTAAGAACAGGGCGGGCGGAGACAAAGAAGGTAAACCTTTCTGACCTGCTCCTGGGGTGGCGATCGGAATTCCTTCGTTTTCCTGGCGGTCAAGGCGGCAGACATGTTGAGAGCCTGCATCACCTCGTTGTAGCGGAACCGCTGGTTCTCCTGGAGGTTTGCGACAAAGTCGTCCGAGAACGCCACGATAGCCTCTATCCTGTGGCGCACCTGGCAGTCACAGAGGTACTGCAGCAGATGGCACATCTGCACAGACGGGGGGAAAGACATCAGGAGAAGGAGTCTGGGTAAGTGGCCTATAACAACTGCAGGAGTGTGAAATTAGTTGTAGGTCAAAGACTAGTCTTGGACTTTCAATATAACAGGCCCTCTGATAAGCAGACTGAATAACCCAATAAAGTGATATGTTCCATCCTTGAGGCTGTCAAGAGATAAGCAACTGGGACTCCGCCACAGATTCCAGCTTTACTCAAACATAAGTTAATTAATTAATCTCTGTCAGTTCTAATTAAAAAAATCAAGGACGTGGAAAGGACCGAGATCTAAGAATTAATTTGAATAATATTTCTCCACTTTCACGACAAGTGAACATCACACAGAGAGTGAACACAAATAGTTGGTTTAAGGACTTTACAGATCTATAAAAATACAAACCGTGCATGTAAGCGTTTTGATTATACGAGTTCCTGTTAACTGTTAGCATATCATTTATCGTGCAAAAGGAAATATCGTGCCTGGAGCTTGACTGGCTCGGGGAGCTTCATTTGCAGCAATCCTTCTTTGGGGACATTTTCTGCTTTTCCCTCTTCCTCGTCCCCTGGTCCCTCTATCCTCAGCTCCCCCTTGATCCCATCACACTCGGGGGTCTCGGGCTTCGGCTGGCCCGGCTCCTCCGAGAAGACACTGGGCTCGATCAGCTGCAAGATAGTCTTCAGGTCCCCGTTGTGAAAGACGCCCATGATTAGCAAAGTGTAAAACAGTTTGATGAGGGGCACGAAGAGGAACTCGGTGCTGCCCCCTACAGGGTCGCGGACGTGCAGGCTGCCCTCCTGGACAGCCTCTGTCAGCATTTCGATGGTTTTCGTCTTCAGGATCTCCAGGGGGAACTCGGGGCTGTGCTGGAAATGATCCCCGCTGACCCTCACGAAACTCGGGGAGGAGAAGTGCATCCGGGGCCTCAGAGAGGTGCTGAGTCCGATCCCGGGGAGACCGTGTTTTTTTTTCTCGTCGGGGAACAGGGTGATGCTTTTGGTTTCCTCCGTCATGGGGACGATGTACTCGCTGTTCATCATGAGGCGGGCAGTGGCGTAAGAGCTGAGGTGATTGTCGATGAGCAAGTCATAGTAGCCCGTCCTGAGCAAGCCCGGCATGTACTTGTTCTCGGCCGCATAGAGGAGCTGAGACTCATCCACGTGGCTGCAGAGCGTGTGGGCCACCCTGTTGTTGCCCAGCGCGCAAACCGCAGAGTACAGGCGCAGGGTGTGGTAGTGGAACTTCAGCAAGTCTTCCTGCTCCGTCAGCTCCAGGATATCAACTGACCTGGGAGCACAGGAGGAAGAGCTTCATTAACAGGTCATCAAAAGCGAAGGCGCACTTACTGTAGATGTGCTTCTGCTTTGCTTTGGTGCAATTCAGGTTCCCCGACTTTTAGTTAAATAGTTTTATCGGTAAAGCTGCAGAATGCCTTTATTCATGGTGGTGCAGAACATGTAGAAGTTTATACGATGCACTGGGAGGCACCAAAAATGTGGCCAGTGAGTGTAGCTTTGTGTGTGTGAGTTACAAACCCAATCAACTGACTGAGATTGTATTGATTGTTTTGCTGTCCAGAAGAGAAGTGAACGAAATTATTTTTGCTGACAATTTGCGCACGTGTGCTCAAAGGCAAATAGTGAATCTGAATTGCTCTGCGGTGTTTTATGCAGTACACAGGATGCCGCCCTGTCGGACTGTGTCGGGCTCGGACCTGTTCTCCTCCGGAATGTGCAGAGACATGAACTGCAGGGGCTCCGTGCACTGGACCAGCCAGCCGTGCCTGTCATTGACCCGCGACGCCTCCACCTTCAGGAAGTGGTTGGGGACCCTGCTCCACAGCACGGGCGTGAGGAACTGGACATGCAGCCGGGGAGGACACTGGGGCGTGGGGTTCTTCCGCTCGCTCTTGAACAGGCCCGCCGACAGGGGCATCACGTTCTGGCCAGGAAAGAAACAGGGCCTGACTGAATACACAAGCCCACCCCCCTTTATATGACTCAAAGAGCTTGCTACACAACAGCCCCTCTAGATACAGCAGATGAGGGGGACAATGACAATCACAGAGAATAAACAGAAGAAAAGGCAGGAAGGAAGCAGGTAGGCATTAAAAAATAAAGCGAGAATCACCCATATTAAACAGAGAGGTCAAACACCCACAGTAAACGCATGAGGACTTCAAACAATACAACAACCAGCTAATTAATGCTAAACTGTATCAACTAAGTGGGAAACCTTTGTCTCCTGAAGACAGTTCCTAGAAATACTGTTCAGTCAGTCCCAGTTGACCTTATATTAGGGCTCTGGAGATCACAACATGACATTTTCTTGTAAGGCTGTGGCATTTCCACTAATGGAAAATCTTTTCATATAGTGTTGCTCTTACCTTTATTCGTCCCAGTTCAAACTGAAATACGTTAGGGCTAGTTGCTTGGGCAAATACTGCAGGGAATAGCTTAGTGCTGGGCTCTACCTAATTCCAAAGAGGAAATAAGGAGTTAGTCAAACCCAACCGACAGGAACAGCACAGTGTAAAATAGTCACAGAAAGACAATTTCAGATTGCAGGTAGATGTAAAAGCTAACCAAAATCATTTTAATTATTTCATTAAAAACAGCGCATGAACAGAAACAAATAGCTGACAAAATTTGAAAAGGGCTGCATTGATGAGCTGGGACTTTCAATTTGAGCTGTGTTGATTGTTTTTGCAGGACATTTAGCTTTTAAAAGACGTCACATTTTATAGTGATTCTGAAACTCCATTACATATCCTACTGTAATTCATGGTACAGAAGGTAGGAAAAGATGGCTGTTTTTGAACATTAATGATCAACTCTTGCTTCTAAACTTTTCCTTTGTACAGATTTACTCTGAAAAACGGCTATCCAGCAACAGCTGGTGTCTGTATGCGAGTGAAAGCACTTGAATCTGCTCTTAGCATCCTTTCAGAAAGTGCTCTCTCTTTGACTTCTTTACTTTCTCTCTCAAAACTAACGTCTCCTTGTTCCTGGTCAGTGTAAACACCACTCCATGTGCCAGTCTTACTCCCGGGAAACAATCAGTTTGTTGGTTTTTTTGCAACACACAGTGGCGACAACAGAGCAGCTTTATTTACCTGATAGTAAGTGCTCAGCTCTTTGCCATTTGCTGTGAAGGTCAGCAAACCGCTGGCTGTGTCTACCAGGCAACCAATCTCCAGCCCATTGTTGTTACGGCCTTGGCCCGGACTAGTGCTCTCTCCCGCCCACACAATGTAGCAGTTGCTGCGCTTAATACTGGAATTACACAGGGGATAAAACAGCACACTGGTCAGTAAAACATAAAGAGACAACAGGCTGAAGTTAACCCCTGCCACAGTGATGAAGAACATGCTATCTTCAATACTGCACAGGACTGTAGTACACTATATACCTTTATTTTATAGACAAGAGCCATAAAGTAACGCAATATACTTTCTTTAGAAGTTGAAAACAGCTTCTGATGCGTGTATAACAATTGCAGACCACGTCTGTATTATATATTATAATAAACCATGAGCTGTATCACCAGACACCACTAGGAAAGCTGCTCATGAGGTTCCCAACCTTTCATGGACCTTTCCCTTCTCGTCCCCGAGCGTGACCGTCACTGTGCGCACCTTCTCCAGGTCAAACGCAGTGTCATACTGGTGGAAATCAGAGGTGACCCAGCCCACCCACACACCAGTGGGCTCCTGGCCAGGGAAGATCCTCACTGAGTAATAGTACTGAGAGAGACAAAAAAAATAAAAATAAAACAAACAAAGGATAAAAAACAGACTGGATGAAACAAAAAAATAAAGCTTCAAACACTGCAGTTCAATCTGGAAGACAGGAACATGTTTTCCTTCAGATGGTACTCAGTCCCTCGTTCCTCACCGTTCGTCTTCACAGAGACACCAATAGTTAGACAGGAGACAGGGAAGCACAGGGGCCAGAAGGAACAGAGACAGCTGAAGCACAAAATACACTAGATGTCGCACAGAGAAGCAGCAGTGCTTACATGAGGTTTAGGGCTTAAACTCCTCCCAGCTTAAAGACAAACATTTAACCTGCAGAACATAAAAACAATGAAACATGTTGGAAGTTAAACAAAGATAATTGTGTAGCAAAAAAAAGGTTGGGGCATATGAAGAGTTTATGAGGGGAACCCCTTCTCCTCAGGAAAGTGAAACACCTGCAAGTGACACCCCACTCCAGGGGGTGTTTATAAGGTACAGACTAGGTCATCATTTGTTTTAAAAGCATGTTAATGTTTAGAACCAGATGTGGAAGTACTAAAACAGCCTAGTACCGTGGAAGTCTGCATCAGATACTCGTAGTCATCCCTCTCATCGGCCAGCACTTCCTCGGACAGACGAGCCGACGAGTGGCTTGTGTTATAGTCCGGCTTCGTTCTCTTCAGCATAAACCTACAGAAAACAGGTCACACTCCATTCAGTGACACCATATGAAACAGGCCTCTAGAGCCAATTTCCACCTGGAATTTTCTCCTCTTAAACATTGTTATATCTCAGCAGCAGAACATAGCAGGAGCCTGGTTCAGGTCTTAAATTGAAGCTAACCCCCTTGGCATTGAGGTTATTTAAAAAAAAAACAGCAGGCGCAAAACCGATTTCTTGTCTTCAAAGATAATTTTTTTCCATTTTTAGGCCTGTCAGTTGGCTCAAAGTGCTTGTTGGCCTTGTCCTAGGTGTCTACTAGCTTGTAGAAAAAGTTGGGAAAAATTGATGAATTTGAAAAAATTCTACATCATTTTTTGTGAAGACTGGACCTGGAATGAAATTTCTCGCATCCCCCCACTATTTCTAAAAGTTATTGAAAGCCGATAAAAATGTGTAAAACCTATTGCAATTGTTATAAAAAGCCTTAAGGCAGTGCTAGAGAGCCTTGTCTGCTGTTAGGCATTGAAAAAAACTTTAGAGTGGCCTTGAGCTGTGAAAAAATTACCACTGATAAGAATCTGATTGATTACCACCTGCTGTGTTAATGACTGACAGCTGGATTACAGCTAGAATGCAGCCAGAGGCTCCCAGAGGAAGTCCCATCCCCTAAGGGCTCTGAGTGGCTGATAATACAATGAATGACAGCATTTTCCACCAATCAGACCAGTTTTTTGAGGCGGTCAGTTTCAAAATTCAGTTCCAATAGCCTAGTTTCCTCAAGGTATGGAGATGAGTAAGGTTGGCCTTTTATGGATATATTTCTGGTCTTACAGATGTAAAAACATGGGAAATACACTTTTTTTTTGCTGGTTTTTGCCTTTGCGGTCATGTTTTGCTGGGTTATTGTTTACTTGTCGACGCACTTTGGAAGTTTGCGGAAGTGCGTCATCAGATAAAAAGTGTTATTGTGATCGACTGCCTCTGTGTATTTCGGTTCTGAAAACTTTTTGTGAAGCTCCTGGAAGCTTTCGATTGATAAAAGGTTTTCTGTAAAAGTTTTTTGGTTTTGTTGGTGAAATACTATGAAATGTACAGTCTTCAGTAAATATTGACTAAGTACGGTCCCCCTGGCGGTTCCGCAGAACATTATGAGATTGTGATCCAAAAACATTTCCAAGGCCAACTATAGAGCTTGGATTTGAATGTAGTACTGTATGTTTGTGCCAGGAAGCATAGTGTCAGAAAGCACAGCTCAAACCTCTGCTTTAATCTGGAAGGCTTTTCCTGGGTGTAGTCTTTATGATTGTTGAACTCATCCTTGTCCTTCTCCCTCTCCGGTCCATTGGAGCCCAAATGGCCATGAGCCGTTTTCATGAGAACTTCAAAGTCTGAATCTGTGTCAAAGTCATCGAGGTCCTTCTGTGGAGAAAAGAAGCCGCCGCCGGAGGGCAGAGTGCCCCCTGGAGGCTTGGCGAAGGTCTCGGCACACTCGATGGGCATGCTCAGGCGGTAGAACACAATGTCCGTGTTGCTGTTCTGAGATCCGAACGACTTCTGTGTGACTTTCAAACACGGCGAGCTGTCAATTGTCCCGTCTATCCTCGTGACCTTGAGACAAGGACAGCAGGTCGGTTTGCATTAGAACACAGCATCACTGATTAAGCTGGATTCAGAAACGCTGGGGAAAAAAAAACTCCCAGCACAAGTGCAGTGATTAGTCTAGTCCATTCTCTATACAACGGGCACACTAATCACAATTTACTGTTACTATTTTAATGTAATGTATTTTAATTGTGATCTGCATACATTCAGGCAAAATAGTGCAGTTCATACAAATCTATCTCTGATAAACTTCTCATTGAAATATCCTGGGGGCAGAGGGGCAAAACCAGGATAGGTACTTTATAAATCTGAGATTTACGTGGGTTGCTACTAATTTAGTATGTGGGGGGAAAAATAAAAAAATAAAGTCCATTATTTAACACTAAGAATATCATTTCAGTTTTTCATTCCTAAAAACTTCAAATCCAGTGCGTTTTGCTGAAGTGTGAAAGGCAGGGGGCTCTGGCAGGTTGTCCTCACCTCTATGTGCTCGTGGTTGGAGGGCACAGGGATGAACTGTGGCAGCCGTTTGCTCAGCCACATGGTGATGTCCCTGTTCATGTTGACAGCAAAGGGCTCAAACCCTTCCTGCAGGCCACAGATTGTGAAGTACTTTAGGGTGCTGACATCCTTCCCGAAATTCATCCTGCCAACCTGACAAACGCCAAGACTGCAAACGGGTATAAACCCTGGTGCATAAAACCAACAACAAAAATAGAGTTGAATGAAATAAAACAGAGAAAGACTTCTGTCTCCCACAGTCACTTTTCAAGTACCATTTAGCACACACAACATAAAAAGAAATTCCTGGAACAATCAACATTTGTATTATGACGCATCAGGGTAATAATAAAATAAGAGTAGGAGTATGTCATTACAGCCAGTAGATGGCGCTCACGTAAAAATGAAAATGCCACACTGCAGTGAAATCAAGATATACCAATATAAACGAAGAGAAAGCCTTCCTCTGGAATAACTTCAGTGAATTAAAAGCTGTATTCATGTCAGATTGGGGTTAAACATGGAAGTGATATGACATGAAAATCATTGCCCAGCCGTTGAGAACTTAGCAAGCACAAGAACAGCAAGTCCTAAATTACAGGAGTATAAAACGCAAAACAAAAACCTTTTTAAGAGAGGAATAAATGAAAATAAGAGAGAAGCAGGTCAAATAGTATGCAGTATTCCCCAAAACAGACTTCTGCTATGATATTTAAATGTTGGTATGATATCTAAACTATAATGCATTAGCAGACAAGTTGATAGCTCTTTGAAAAGCAAGAAACTAGTGCAGAACAAAGTGAAGCAGGTAGCACTGTCAATGCTTATTCTTGCTATGTACTGTAAGTATGCAGTACAGTTTGTTGTCCAGGCCTGCACAAAGAAACATCTCATAAACCACCAGAACATTTGACATCCATCTACTAGTATGCACATTTCAAATCGATTACTAGAGGTAGCAATTCCTCCTCTGCTGGATCAGCATTGTGGCCCTCAGGAGTGCAGAGATATATTTAAGATCATCATCCAGATAAAGATGATGGTTCATTCATTTCTATCTCCTTCGGCAGCTCACAAAACGGTTTCTTACTGTCTTATAATTATATTGTCGATATGTAGGCACAGCTCCTTAGGTTAGGAACAAGAGAATTAGTTCAGCACAAGTGGTAAATGTACACCTTGCTTTTCCTAACCCCAAAGGTTTCCAGATGACCTTGCTATTGATGTTTCAGGCTGCTTTAATCATATCTAATTACCTTTTGTATGTGTAATTCAATATGAAGAAGGCCGCCCAACATACTGTAGGTTTAAAAAAAAAACTTGAGCTGGGGAGAAGGCAGAGGGCTGGAAAGGTCAGGCACTAACCTTCCCCAACTTCAAAGTCCTTGAATGCCAGTTCTGATCCCGAGTCATCGAGAAGGACTTCCCCGTTGAGCGTGAACATCATGGTGTGCTCGTTCATATCCACCATGCAGCCCACCACATCGCCCGACTGCCAGGACCGCCCAAAGTGCTCGTTACCCTGGTGCCACCGCTGTGCCTGAAACAAAGAGCGCAGTCACCCCAGACTCCTCTCTTTAATGACAACCTTCTTGCTCCTGCACCTTGCAATTAGCACAGCTCTCCCTCTAAACCTCTGCAGGGCTTGTCGGCTACAAACAATGTTTAGCCGCTGCTTTAAGTACCCTTTTGCAATGCCAAAGACAACCACACTGTAATTACACGCTCCATAATTTGTCCCGGCTTCAAAAGCAAATCATTAGTTTTCACTTTTTTACAGTTATTTTCCAATCCATCTCTGCAATTCCGACATGGAGGTAGAAAATAAAGCAAATATGTACACCGAAAATAATCTTGCCTCCTGAATCTGACAGCAAGAGAAAAATGAATCATTCAAAGGAAAGATTAACTCCCTCTGGGCTATCATTTAAATGTATCCTTAAGGATTACATTACAGACAAAGGAACATGTGGAAATGACAAACACAAAATGTGAAGTGGTTATATAAGTAACAGACAAAGACACAGAGAGTCTAGTCTGGCACTGTGGGTGTAAATGTTTAGCTGGTCTACAGTGTGGTTTTGTACATTAATATTATTTAAGAAATTCATTATACAAACAATATTATCTCATATTAATTTAATAACTACTTCTGGCATCGGTTGTCAGATGGAAAAGTCGTTTCTCAAGCAGAAAGCTAGAATGTGCAGGATTTCTGAATATGTTTAACGTTTGCATTTGTATGCCAGAAGATCCCAAGTGTCCCTAATGTGATTTGACACCAGGGGCTGTTCTGATTTTTAAAACAAATATATTTGCACTGGTATTACAGGTTATGTGATACACAGTCATGAGTTCTGTTATCTATAAAGCATAACTTATTGTATGAAAGAAGGGCCAAGCAGCCTCCTATCACTAGTAATCTTCATAGCTTCAAGAGATTTAAATCTCTAATCATTTTAAAGTCATTCAACTGTATTACAACATGGACTATAAATGAGCAGAGAACAATAAATAGAATTGTGATTTTAAAAACGTGATGAGGGAAATCAAGGCAATCGATCAATTAGCTGCCTTGCGGCTCGGGGTTCTGTGTTCGATTTCAGTCTGGGGCCTGTTCTGAGTGGGGTTTTCTCTCGCTGCTCTTGTCTCCTCCCGCTGTGCCTCTACGCTGCCCTCTTAACTGAAGTCGTGCGTGTGCGTGTGTCTGGGGCCTCGTCTCGCCTTGTCCCCTGGGACTCTGGGAAAGACTACTGCTTACCATGGCCTCTCGAGGATAATACTGATACTGACTGAAAACAGAGGGGTGATGAGATTCGGATTCACCTAAAGGTTTACTTCAGTATGTCAGTATGAACAGACATTCTGCATAGTGGTGGTGATGGGTGTAAAAATGTTGTTCTGGTTGTCTTTAATTACTGATGTGCTCATTCCAGTACACCAGTACACCCAAAATGACAGCACAGTAACACTGGCAGGAGTCACAGAAGACCCCTGAACAAACTATCTTACTTTACTTCGGATGCTATCATGTAAATATGATATTACAGTATTTTACTGCTTCATCCATTTTCTATCAATTCTTAGTTAATATAGGGTGGCAGTGAGTCCATGGGTACATAGTAATATACCAATGGGATACAATACCAGTGCATCACATAGCAGGGACAACACAGCGTGTCTGTGAACTGGGCAAGAAAGCTGGAGAGAAAGCTAAAGAAAAACTTCGAGCATGCTGCCATTGATAGGACATGCAAACTCCACACACAAGGTACCACATAGCTGGAACCCAAACTCTTTAAGTCAGAAAAAGGCAACTACCATCCCGCTGTGCCACCCTTTCCTGCTATGCAAATTCTGAATTTTCCCCAAAATTGTAGTGGTAATACATTCCTTAAATGTCAATAGCACTTCTAACTTGTTTGCATTATTTCATCCCAGATCAACACATTTGGTTTATTCCAGTTTTATTTTTAGTGTCAATCAAAGATTAATTTCCAGTGTATCACATTGTAAAATGTTTAGTTCGTGACGTTCTGGAGAAATGACCCTGTTGACCTGCACTAACATTTGATGCAGACTGTGTGTGGGTACACCATCAGAGGTACTATATGCAACCAAATATTTAAATTACTTGATTTAACGTAAAGTCTGTTTTTAATATCATCAAACGCAATCATGGAATTACCTAAAAGTATAATAAAATGACAGTACATTCATCTCATGATCACAAAAGTACAAATTGCTTGACTGGATAACAAAAAAACTGAAATTTTGAATTTGCTGTCCTGGTTATATTACAAGCCACCGCATGGGGCTGTAGCAGGCTGAATCACTTGGCGTGTTAAATCTTCACATAAAGACTTCTGTGCCTACCTTGAAGCCATCAAAAACAAAGGCCTGCTCATCAGAGCCCAGCTCCTGGTCAGGCAGGCAGCCAGGCCTTGCCCACCCAACCCTCATCTCCCCGGCAGTGACCGCTTCAAACTCAAAGTACCACTTCCCCGAGTTCACGCTGTACGTCTTCTCCGCTCGGAAAATGCGGAACCTCTCTGCAGACATATTGCTGATGTCGGACCTTGTGGCTTAAAAGAAACGGAAACAAATGTCATTACTCATTTGAAGTCATTAATACGTTCCTTTGTAAGGTGAAATTTTACCATGGGGGTTGATGTAAACTCAGAAGATGATGTGTATGACACAAACAGGAACACAGACTTGTCTAGCCCCCAGGATTCCCAGTGTACTGAAAACATGAGGCCCTTTTGAGCGCACTGTCTGCCGCCACAGTGTCTTGTACTGTACTTGTGAAGCCTTGAGCAGGAGAGGAAAGTCGCTTCTCACTGACAGTCCAATAGCCAAGTCCAGTGAAAGCTCGGATGCTGACAAGAAAGGATAGGGATCGGTGAACTAGGACGGAGAGCCGAGGCTGAAGGAGACTGTCGTGTCAGGATGGAACGCAATAGCAAGGGGGGGCGGATCGGTAAAATAAGGGGGGGGGGCTGTCAAGGCTGATCCGGGCAGGATTAAAGGCTGGAAGTTCGGAAAGGAGCCACTGGTCGGGTGCTTGGCGAAAGCAGCAGCTTACAGACGGGCAGAGCAGGTGCGGACGGACCGGAACCTCTCGGGCAGGATTCAGGCTGATTAGTCTTTCCGAGACGCAGGTTAGTCAGGCTGAGAGCACCACCCACGTCGGGAGGTATCTCCATGACGGAGCACATGACGGGGCAGGGCAGGGTCGAAGAATCCAGCGCTGATGGAATTAGCACGTGTCAATTGGAGCAAGGTGTTTGGGACAATCGGCCCATCAAGTCTGAACCTCTCCGGGACGTTTCTGACCCCTCGTGCAGATGCACGCAGTTCCCAGGGAGACTGACAGCTACAAGCTCTGGCTTGCCCGGGCACAGCAGTGGTGCCATGAAGCAGACTACAGAGTATGTAAGAGTTCAGTTTTCCATTGACATAGCCTCCCAGCAGAAGAGCACAATTTAAAAAGATCGACTTCCTGTTTCTCTCGAAGGCATTAACAATTTCACAACATTATTTGCAATAAAGATTGATTGCTAAACATTCTGACAGTTGAGCACTGACTTAACTGATCTTAATTTGTTCAACACTAGATGACCATGGTAATCGGGGAAAACAAGGATACTGTATACAATTGGCAGGAAGATATGTTTTATAATATCGGACAATCTTCAGGCCTGAGAGCTCACTCCACAGGCACCTTCATCCCTGCTCTTAGTTCAGGTCTGCTGCCATGTGATTGTCAATCAGGCTGATTTCATATAAACCGCTCCAATTCAACAATCCTGTAATTTAAACAGCTCTAAAGAAATACTGATTCATACTCGAGTGCTTTTGTGCACTATAAATTTCCATCACCATAACAAAGCTGTAAATTTGGTAATACAAATAATGTTCAATCCAAAATACTGCAAGTTTTTTTTTCCCAGAGGGAAACCCAACATCAGGGTTAACAACGGGATTTCTTATAAATGTCATTTTAAGATGATTAAACCGACACAAGTGAATATCAGTATGGTATGTGTTTCCACATCAAACACAGGTAACAAATGAATCTCACAAGGGACTTAAAAGATGTTTTAAAATAAAGTATTTATTGGATTTTGATGCTGCAGAAAAAAAGGTAATTGTGTTTTGTTTTATATTTCCTTAGATTCCAGGTTTAGAATGCAAAAACACTTGCTGTTTATGAGTGTCTCAGCACTCATAATTCTTCAGGGAATTTCTCTGACTATGGTTGACAGCGTCTAAGTGACCTGTTACTATTTACAGAAATGGCAATGAACTTTTGTATACTTGAGTCTTACTTCCAACATTGAGAATGTTATATGAATATGAATTAGTTATTATGCTTTAAGACCCGAGAAATACCTTTATTTCCACTCCTAATAATCCATAACATGATGTTAGGAAATGGTATTTTAAAGAAACTATTATAAAACTATTATAAAAAATGGTTTTATAGAAAATGAGAATTTGAACCCTCCTTTTGTACTTATTTCCTTAGTAAGGAGAGAATGTTACTGACAGGAATACTGCTGCAGTTAGTAAAGGCATTCACAGTCTAGTATCTATAGTATCCCCAGGACAGCATCACCTGAAAGGAAGTACCTGACTGATTCACTCAGACCTTGCCAATTAGTTCAACAACAGGATTTTTAGATTCAGAGGTATGATCTACAGTAAGAGGTTCCTGCAACACCTACAGCTCCGGCTGGGCAATGAGATGTAGCTTACCTAACAAACTACAGTCATCAGACACCCCTACAATGGTAATACCATTACTCAGCATCTCTGACCTGCATAACTACTGTAAAGCAGCAGGCATGAGGACCCTGTGGAAAGACTGATGTTGAATCCTAGTTCTGTCTCATTCGGTACAGCAGGTATACTGTATACAGCAGAGGCTTGCTGTATCCATTAACAAGGTATGTATCCGGGGAATTGCCACTTGTCAACATCTGAACACTTTTCAATCTGTCAGATGCACTTAAAATGAATTAATATTTGTCAATAACACTATCTGCCAAGCAGGATGCTCTGCGTTTCCCTTAATTTCAGTGCACACATTGATTTCATAGAGGCTAATCACTGACACTGTCAAATTCATTTTCTGAAATATGAAATATAAACCTTCTATGTGCATTTTAAGCAAGCTAAATGCTTATAAAGACTGCAAGGTATTATGGAAAGGAATTTAAATCCACTGCCAATTTGTAACCATAATCAACACTCTCAAATATTTCTTACTGTAACTTGATTTGTAATTGCATTCAACAGATGACTTCACACCTCTTCTGGACAACAATTATCTCTATGAGAGTTAGAAAATAAACAGTGTGGGCAATACTACTACAAACAATGTCTTGGAAAGTGCTGGAAAACCTGATTTAAAAAAATGACCTGTGACAATCTCTTGACTTAAAGCTAGAGGTATACAAGGGAACCTCAACAACATTTCATTCACAGTTACTACTGTACGTGCTTGAGTCTTGTAATGTAACAACATGACCCAGGCTGAACTCTATCCACATACCGTGATCTTGGTCAGGTGCTTCCAAACTGTAGCCATAACCCAGAAGAGTTCGGACTGCCTCTCTCAGGCTGTCCTTGTTGGACTTCTTGGTCCTTTCATCCAGGAGGGCATAAGGGACAAGACGGGGGTTTCTTCTGTTTTTGACATCCTAAAAAAGAAGCATAGTCAACCACATTCAAGAACACGTGTGCCGCTGTCAGTTTATTATGGAAGGGAAATGTTCATTAAAGTCTTCAAAATCATTCTAGACAACCAATACCAGAATTCTAAATTAATGCATATTTGTGGTATGAAATTTGACATTTTCTTTGAGAAATACATTTATTACACCGAGTAACCTTAATACCTACACTATATTAAAAAAAATAAAATAAATAAACATCAAGATCTTTTCATATCAGGCACTTGTACACAGTGGAGCTTACAAAACTGTCCACTGTCTGGAGCATGTTAAACTTGGGGAAATTAATCAGAGATAATCTTAAGCAGAAAAGTCATGACCTAAATCAGTTACATTAATTAAAAGTCTTTTCTGCTTAATTGCTTCAGATCTCAAGAGAATCTAAAGATTAAACTTAGTGCAACTGACGCTCGGTTAATCTTATCTAAACAAACAACATTCTGCCACTACAGTAATTTAGTGGGTTTCTGCAGGTTTTGCAGTACTGTATGTCGTCCATGGATTCTGCAAGTAACAGCTACGCCTTCTTATCCTTTTGGTTTCTGATATGGTAACTCAATGAAGATGTTAATTGCCCACGCTACCAGCATGATGCCAGTCTGGAAAGCATTTTCTTTCCTGCTGCCATCATTTTCCTTAAACCATCACAAAAACCCCAAGCCAAAAGCCAAGGAGTCTGTAAAAAGTGCCTGTTTCACCAAACACCACTTCAACTACATCATTAGGGTATTAAACTATTAAAGACTGAACAAATATTTAAAGACTTTCAAGCGGTCACATCTGCACCACCCTGGCCACCCACTTCAATATCAGTCATGGTGACATCTAGCCAAATCCCAAGTGCTAAAAAAAAACCTACTTGCTGGATCCCGTAGGTCCAGCCTTGTCTGATTCGGTCTCGGGCCCAGACATTGTGCGCATTCTCTGCCAGCTTGTCCACCATGGCCTCCTGGGTTGAGGTCAGCTTAATGTGGCTCAGATCCATTGGAGCAGGCTTGTAACCACTTGTCAATTCATAGCTGTACCAAAGGCAACAAAAATGCATACTACAATTACAGAACAATCTTACACTCCATAGCAGAATAGCAAGTGACAGAACAGGGCTAAGAAAATTCAATAGGACAGTTGCATAAATTAAATAGGACAGGAATACTATAGGTTCAGGAAAAAATAACCACAGGATTAGTAACAAAATTCAGAGACCGCAAATAATGGTGTTGTCTAAAGAATCATCCACAGTTGTTCCAAGAGTAGATCTAATGATATCTACAGATTAGTCACACACCCAAGGAAAAGCATCAATGGGCTCAGTAATCCCATTTCACAGTACCAATATGAGCCCAGAAAGTTTCAATGCCAGACCACTTACATCAGACGATGCATCACGCGCCAACAAAATTTGTAGGAAAATTATAATTATTACTTACTTTGTGGAAAGCTTAAGATTTTTCACCTTCTCCTCGGCATGGTCATCTGCAATTCCCACATGGCAGCCTAAAGCAAGGAGTGTCCTTGAAATATAAAATACACAATTGTGAACTATTTTTTGCTCATGATACTGAGAGGAATATGTAGAGCTGAGCAGTCTATTTCCATATGAATCCTCTCTCATACAGTTAATGCAAAAACAGCAAAATCAGCAGAACCTGAATTAGAATTCGACTGGACGGTTTCCATTAGAATCCTATGCTGTCCTTTTAACATGTACAGTAAATAGTTAAAGGTCTTGGCTTTGCTTTTTCAGTAAAACGCTCTAAACACAAGACCAAGACTATCCCACATCTCATATACATTAAATAATTGTCATTAAACATTAAAATAATTATATAAATTGCATTAGTTGTAAACCTTTTCCTCATCCATAAAGATATGCAGTAACTCGTTTTAAAAGATTTTTGCCTTTAGTAATTTGAGAAAACCCTTGAAATTATAATAAGAGAAACTTAATTCCTTTGTACATTCATGCTGTAATCGTTAGCTCAGTTCATTAAAATATGACATATTTAATTAAAAGAAAAGCATTGGCAGTATTTAACTCAGAAATTGAAGTCGCTCATGTTTTTTTGCATTTAGATAGAACTCTGTGTGACTGAGGTGCTACACTATCCTGAGCCTGTTCTTGAAATAAGAGCATTAAGTAGTATAATAAAGCTGTCCCAAAGGTATGAAAAATGTTCCTGAAATTGGGCAGTCACTGGCAGTCATTTCAATATTTAAAGAAATGAGTCATTGGAAATATGTATTTAAGGCAGTTATGAGTTTTACCTTTTTTTTTTCCATTAAAAATATTTAGACACTAATATGGTCAAATGAGGCAGGAGAAAAAGGGATCTGATAATTGCTAAACCTGATAGGTCTAAAATAATTGTACCTGTAGGCTTCCTTAAAGTGTACGAACCAATCTTAGCTATTTAAATCATACATCCATAATACTTGGTAAAAATGTGACCATATAAAGTGTCATTTTGTCATTTTGTCATTCATGTACTAGTATGTACTAGTTGTTTAGTTATAAATATTTTGTAAGTGGATGTCTTCACATTAGAAGGATATGAATGGTCTCAATAACACATAACAGATTGGGGTCTGATGTCCTTAAACCTTGTACCTGGACACGAGTCACAGTGTACAAGTACTGTACCTGATGGCAGGTTTGCATTCAGTGGAAGTAAGAAGGCTTTGATTTACAGTAATCCTGACCTACTGTACGTGTGACTGCATTTAGGACTAGGAAGTATTTCTTAAGTGCCGTGGACATTACAAAATCAAGGGACATGCTGATTCTCTCGGACACTTCAAGAAATAATTTAATAAGCAAGAATTCACAATAACACAATATTGATCAGAATGCAGCAAATGGTAGAGAAATAAGGGCCAAACTGCCCCTTTTCATTTGTCACTTTTCTTGTAAAAAACATTCTTTGACAAATGTTTTAGACAGAAAATGATTTGCTTTGATTGACAGGACATGCAAAGCTATTTTAAACTATAAACACGCTATTTGCCATCTGGCTACAGCGTAGGTGTAAAACGTTGTGCTCAGAGTTTTCTGAATTCTTCCCTAGAGCAAAGGATGTGAAACAAATGCCTTCATGATGGCTTTACTGCAGCTGGGCATACATTTAAGTGACAGACATCTGTTTAATAATAATACAGTTGAAAGAGGCCTCCGTTTAACATTACAAATGTCAGATGATTTTCAGTGGCACTAGAAATTGAATGACTGGGGAAGTCATCAGTTGCTAGCCAAAGTCAGACTGAGAGTATTAAGATCACTTCTTCTTTTTTACAGAAGAGTCACACAAGCAAAAGGTATCAGATAAGCAACACGTCTTAAGAAATTAACTAGAATTGTTCCATAATCCCTTAATGCATATGTGGTGAAAAAATGCCTTTAATGCACTGAATCATTTTGCACAAAAGAAAATGCAGTAAACTTTCTGATGTGTAATTTGTGCATTCACTAAGCATACAGGGCTTACTGTACAATCGCATACTGTATCCTTAAAATCTAAGAACAATCAAAGCTGTGCTCAGCAAATCCTCTCCTTGTCTCCCTTCCCAAGACACTGAATGGCACTGACAGGTATGACCAAGCTGAACATTTAGTCAAACAACTGTCTAGCTATAGCCACATTTACCTTCTTTATTCACGCAGAGAGTGTAATCCGTTGTTCTTTAACTTATTTAGCATGGATTTCCTAAATAAGAGGAACATCCTATGTAATGTTCTGAAGCAAATATGATCAAATCCCCTGAAGTTTGTCTCAAGGTACTGGAGCTTGAAACTCACTTAAGTGTCTCCAGGGACATCTGTAAATTGTAATTCCGTTCTTGTTCAGGAAGTTTGGAGAACTCAACCAGGCACGGATGCTGCCTTTTGTTGTCATCTCGCACCTGCAAACGATAGCGTTTACTTAAGAAAATAAACAAAGCAATGGAGATATACCTCTGCCATGGAGAAAGGATATCCAGTTTTATATCATTTCAGTAATGGAATATATTTGTAAAATGACACCTTTAAAGTCTGGTTAAGAACACTGTAACTAATTTAATTATCATCCATCAGTCCATTTCCTAATCCGCTTCATCCAGTACATCCCAGCAGGCAATGGGTGCCCAGCGGGATCTACCCTGGACAGGATGCCAGTCCATCGCAGAGCAGACATGGATATACAGTACCAGGATCAATTTTCCCAGAGCCATTTAATCTACCAGTATGTATTGGGACTGTGGGAGGAATCTGGAGCAAACCCATACGAACCCAGGGAGAACATACAAACTGCACACCGAAAATAAGACCACATTGCAATAGTCTAATGTAATGTATTATACAAAGATCAAAGGTACGAAGACAGGCATTTTTGTGGTATTCTATTTGAACTGAATTAATAAACTATAACATTTAGAAATTTATTAGAGAATTTCTGGGCTAACTGAAATGAAAAACTACAGAATAATTAGATCCAATTTGCTGCTCTCCTAGCTCTCATTTAAAATATAGTAATAAAGTCAAATTAAACTTTAAACTATAACTATTTCCTGGAGACTCACATGCCTGCCAGGATATTTGTGCCTAATAGTGATATATTATAACTATTTGTACACCTCAGTATCCTTGATAAGTATTAAAATACAGGGTATCAACAGCTGCTCCACAGCTTTTTAAAGCATATGCAACAAATTCTTGATGTAAAAAGATGTAAAATATTATTGAACTGGGCCATCACAGAAAAACTAATGGTATCCATTACCTTAATTGTGTTTTGCAGATTCAAAAACAATAAATAAAGTGGGAGACAAAAACATTCTGAATTAGCATGTCAAAGAAGAAAGACCATATCTGTTTGAAATACCTGAACGTGCTTTCTTTAAATTCCAATTCCTGGACCTGATATTAACAGTATACATTTTTTTTGCAGTCTTTGCCGATAGGGATGAGAAATGTATAATCCCTTTGTCAAGACCGCCTATGTGGACTTTATGCTTACTTACTGTTCCATAGGTCCAGCCCAGCTCAATCTTGTTCATAACCCAGAGCTCATGAATGTTCTCTGCCAGTTTTTCACGAATTCGCTCCAAGTGAGGAGGCAAGACAATCTAACAACAACAACAATGAAACAAGAATTACTCACTGCCTAGAGGTCGGACTGCATTGCAAACCGGGCTGTGCTTTGAGGTAATCTGCTGTACCTGTCACGACCACCAGGCAGTCAAGATCAAATCGTAAGCGAGCTAATCAGCCCCAGCAGCGGGTGATTATTAACAAACACCGCCGCACGAGTTAAACCACCTGCGCACACTCACGGTGCAGTGCGCACTGCTATTTATACCCTCTTCACCTGTTTCCCACTGCTCGGTATTGAGTCTACTCCTTGAGAGCTCTACCTGGCGTTTTTCCCCGTACCTCGTTTATTCTGGATATTGGACTCCCCTTCTGCCTTTTCGACTTTGCACCTCGCCTCTCGCCTCGGACTGTCTGCTACCGGAGAACTTCCTGGATCACGACTTGCCTTTCGCCTTTTGACTACGACCTTGCCTCTCGTTTTGGTTTGTTCGCCTGCCTCATCTATCACCCGTGCCTGCGTCTGCACAGGATCCGTGTATCTTCCCACCAGGGATTCCTAACAGTACCTGGCTTGTGTCCACAGGTGTCGGTGTGAAGGCAGCTTGTGTTAGGGTTACAGTGGGCCCCAGCAGGTCTCGAGTGCCTCCGTGGTCTTGCTTGTATTCTCTGCTGGGCTCCACTCTCATCTTCTCTCTGGGAAGGACAGCTTCAAAACATGGGGCGTAACCAGGAGGGGGCAGGAACTTGAACTCTCCGTGGCGGCCCCCCAACAGGAAACGTACTCTGAGGGGTGCAGAGACATTAAAAGGTGCATAACTCTGCTCGAGATCATTTTAAACGAGTCCACCAAACTAATGTCTTCACCTAGCCTAACACACTTGCTGTCCAGTCTGCATTTCCTAAAAATAATCTGAACATTTGCTTTTTTAAGTTTTTGTGATCCAGCAGTGCTGCACTTTCACTCACTGATCCTACTGGAGCACACTAGTTAGTTACTCAGTCTAACTACATTTGCATAATGAGTTCATTTATCATTACCACACTGCGCTGTCACTGTTGTGACTTTCCCTGAAATTAACAGTTTATTAATTACAAATCATAATTGTTGGAGTGCGGAGCTACAGTACATCAGCATGTCTTGACAGCAAAGCAACAAGTAAAGGTTAATTCCATGCTGAAAAATAGGAAGGAGAAACACATTTCAGTCTTGATGACTGAAGATGGCTCTAAGGATGACATGTTTCTCTTTTCAGAATGGAATTAACTTTTACTTTTACTGTATGACATTGTTGAACTTAATTCATAATTTAGTTGGGCATGGATATATTAATGCAGGCAGGTGAGTCTTCTGAATTTTATTAATTATTTCAACATACTGTAGAATCAACAGCAGTACTAATAAACTAGCAATGTTGCTTTTATAATACATAGTTATTCCATAATACAATTACTCTGCTCACAGCTTTAAATCTTATCAAGGCTTCCGAATGCATGTCTATTAGTCAAAACCTGTTCTAAGTCAGCAGTTGGCGAGAAAGCAGTATAATATAAAAATCAATAGTAAAATTATTAACCCAATGTTTCAGGGAACTTCTATAATTGCATTATGACATAATGTAGACTGTGTATCACAGTCCCATGTTAAATTTGACAAAATTACCTATAGCATTGCTTTTAGGCCATTTCAAATCACTAAGACCCAATTACTGACAACAAGTCATCGTTAACCCTCTCCAGAACACGATTATGAATATGCACGGTTGAATCGGCATGAGAACAGGAAGGAATATTACTAACTTCACGCCAGCAGAAAAACTAGCAACAGGAAAGAAAAGGCCATCGGAATTGAAGTTCTCAAACATGCCCTGGACAGGCTGGCCATTTATTCGGAACGAGATACTCGGAGCACTGAGGTCCAGGCAGCAGCTGATGACATCATCGGCTCTTAGAAGGTGCTGATTGGGTGAACTCACTGTCCGGGCAATACAGCCTGTAGAGTGAAAAAAACACACACCACTCAAAATGTGATTTCTACTTGACATCTGCTGTGCAGAATTTCATGTAGATCTTCCTAACTACTGGAGAGCTGAAAATCCTATTTGGCTTCTTTGACATGCATTATATTGAACTACTGGATGCTGGATGCCTGTAAGCAGCATGATCCATTTCACAGCATTAGTTTGGGATGTGGTTAGAGTAGAACAGATTTGAAATGTGTAGCAGTCCAAACGTGAGCTCTTTACATGCTCTGTAGCAAAAATCTCTATTTTAAGTTATTCTGTGAGTGAAAAGACATGTTTAGCATGATTCACACAGGTTGTTTTCCCTTTTGCAGATTCAAGAAAGAGTGCTATGATGCAGCATTACTCCGTGGTCCTGTACAATATATTACCTGCCCTGAAGGGAGGCACTGTAGGGTGGTTAGGATTGCTAACCTAACTCAAAGTGGGTCAGTTTTAATAGCCATCCCACACATAACATCTAACTCTAAATACACACTTCACATTGGGATTTACAGTATACATTACATCTGTATGTAGCCCTGACACTCAGCCAGAATTCTTCATGGATTTAAATCACATAAACCCTAATCCTTCACACGGCCCCAGTGGCTTGTAAGATGTTATGCAGTTTCCCTTTCTTGAAAGATAAATAAACTACAGTAATTGGGTACAAATTTTATGACATGTTTCTTATAAGAACATGGCAAAGACTGCAGCACAGTTCTTCAGCAGTGCGAGTTCACTGCTCCCCTCGGGTGCCACACTCTACAATGGTGTTGACCGCAGGGAGAACCCTGTTACATGCAGTTATTATACCCATTCTTCCCATTGTGAGCTCTGCCTTCGCTTTACTTTTAACTTTCACACATGATTACCTTCCAATGGGACGCCACACAACAGAAGAAACAGAGACAACAGGACTTAAAGGTAACAAAAGCCAACACATAAACTGAAAACTGATTAGGAGGCACCACTTATCCTATTAGACCAACTACATTCTCATTAACATTTAATGTACCATACCAGCTTCCAGGCATACAGTATACTGCCCCTGCTTTGCTACCATTTTAATCCCCTTTAGTTTTAATTAAAAAAAAGGATGAAATAAACTGCTAAGATAAAAACACAAAATGCTGAAACTGCATTCCAGAAATGCACCTGACTTAATTATTGGAAAGGACATCATTTCTAAAACAAGATTAGGATTGCCTGTAAAAATTAGGCTATAAAGAAGTTACAAATGCCTGAAACATGGAAGTAATGAGCAGTATTAGAAAATTAACTCTGAATTAGTGCTTCATTAAAAAGCTCCTATCCGTTACAGTAAACGTGTTACATTTATCAATAAACTATTTAAGAACTGATATTAGTTTTGCTCCTCTGTAGTAGAATCATACAGTATCACTAAAACAACAGACAACTAATTATAGCACTTGTTGCTTATTCATGAAATCAAATTAACAAAATCAACCACAATCTGGAATTTTCACACCAGTATTGGCTAAGATCTGTGGCGCGTTTGAAAAGAAGCCAGGAATTCATAACATTAACTGCCCCACCCCAGTGACTTCGAAAAGGGTAAGGTTAAGGTGAAGCCAAAGTAAGGAAGAGAGAATGGAAATGTAATCTCATATCGCAGTAGATGAGCCACAGAACGTCCGACATACTAACCTGACCACAGATGGAGACCATCAAAGCCATAAGAGTAAAGGTCATCTCCAACTCCATTGCCACCCCACCCTTCGCCACCCCCAGGGTAGGGGCAGTACCCATCGGTCGACGCCCACCCAACCCGCAAGTGGGTTGCCTCTGCTGTCACAAAGGGCTCCACCTGGTCCACTATCAGCTCGTAGTACCACTTCTTGTACTGGGCAGAGCCTTCACTGATTCCCAGGAAAATGTTGGGTCGCATGCTTTGGAAGATCCAAGGAAATGCATTGGTGACAAAAAAAGGCAAAGCAAACAGTAAAAAAAAAAACGGTTGTATTTGCTAAGCACCTATCCCTCATAAACTCAAAACGGCAATTATTAAGGTATGAAGAAATATGCCGACAAGAAGTGCGATGAATGCCAATCAGAGACCAGACACCCGTATTTCAAGATTCACCAGGGGAATTATTGAAATTCAGATGGAAAAAGGCATCTCAGTAGCTTGTACGTACTTGATGAGCAGTTTGTAGAGACTTAAGCTGCTTAATCACAGAATCAGCAAATTGAAACTAGAAAAGTGACTCCGATTCCACCATAGTGATCAGATGTCTCTGGTCATGGTCATCACATGGTCAGAGCTATATAGTCCAGATCATTCACTGGCACTTAACGTTCAACAGAAGCTAACCACCCTTTTTTTAACCCAGGACAAGATCTTGGGACCATAGAAGAAAATATACTAGAAGATGGTACCACAAAGCATACATCCACAACAAAAGCTCACTGGAATGAAAAAAAGGACATTCAAATTCCTCCATGGGTGCCTGAGAGCCCTGACATTGGCCCTATAAACACACCTGACAACACATCATCAACAACGTCCTACAGAAAATGGCACCTGAAGGACTCCAAGAGAAAATGAAAAATCTACAGCAGTCTTGGACAAAGCACTACACACTAATGTGATGTTCTATATACTTAACATTTAGAAAATACTTATTTTCCACTACTTTTTATATCAAACAATCTTAGAGCTGAGTTTCAGATGAAAAAACAAGGTTATTTTTCCCACTTTAATGGGGTCTCTTACAGGATTTTCAACTTTTCACTTTTACTTCCTTGACCAAAACTGGATTAAAATTCAATTCTATGGCACAGAGCTTTTACCATTACTATCTTGTGTATCATCATAATAACAGCTGATTTATTGTGGTGGGACACTGCAGAGAGAGAGAGAGAGATGGGTTCAATGAAAAAAACAAACATTCAGAACAAAGGAAAGTCAACAAGGCAGAACTGCCTGGCTGGGAGAAGGACAAGGGAATTGTCTTACCTGCTAACATGGTTGACGAGGCGTGTCTGCAACAGCAGATCTCGTCCAGGCAGTAAGTTGTCACAAATGAGATGCTGGTTTGAACGCACAGCTACCCCATGACAGACACACAGGGAGCACAAAACATCCAAAACCTGTAGGGCAAACATCATATCAATTACTGACTTCTGTGGCAATTTGTGCCTTAAGAGGCTCTCAAAAGCTGGTAATACTGTAAGTCTAGCTGGCATAATGTGCACAGAATAATGGGGAAACATAAATAGAAAAAAGTATTTGTGAGCTCTGTGCAATTCCATAGTACACTTCTGCCGTTGAAAAGAAACCAAGGACCATGTTTTGAATAACAACTTATTTTTCACATAAAAGTTTCACATAATAGTTACCGAATGCAGTACCAACTGTTTTAACACAAAATATACATTCCTGTCGATGGCATGATCTTGACATCACAAGTTTTGATATCTAATGTCCTCATTGCCAAAATATGTCTATTTTCATACCTTGTGATTCCGCCCATGCTTATCCAGGAGAGAAATTATTGATTTGATATGTCCCTCCTTGATAATATTTAGTGCTTCTGGACTTTCCACAAGAACACAGTGTAAAACCTCCAAAATCCCTAAGAATAAAGAAAAATGCAGTTATCTTGGAAAGAAAATGAAACAGTAATAGAGAAACAAACTGAACAACATTTATCAAGTCACCAAAGATGAATAAAGTGTCTCTTTCAGTAATACACTATTTTGCAGTGCGTGGTGAAGCCATTCTAATTCATCCTATATTACTAAAACTGTCTTTAATTAAAAAAAACAATTAAGCAGATTTTGATCATTTGATCATATCATATCATGGACATCTTTCACAAAGAAACAAATGTATTTAACAGAATCGTATTAAGATAAGAATGATAAGCAGTAAAACATCCAAAACTCCAGTAATAATAAAGGGCTGTTGTGTATGAATTGTACATCTGGGATTCCGTTCTTAATTCTCTTGAGCACGAACACAGTTCCAGTTCCCAGACTGCAGATTATTCTAAAACACTTTCCTGTACAAAAGCAATTATTCTTTAGAATTAATTCAGCCGCTAAGATCTCAACATAAGTAATAAAGAAGAGCAAGATGGTTCCAGACAGGCCAACATTATCTCCACCAGGTTTCAGAATCTGCTTGAAAGCACAAAAAGGAGCCAGTAGAGTTTACTACCAAAATGATAGAAAGGACAGAGTGGGGAAAAAGAAAGAACTACTGGTGTTTTGAAAAACATCACCAAACGTGTGAAGTGTGGAGGTGGCAAAGTCTCTGAAACGGCCATCTCTGAAACTGATTTAGGACGAAAAGATGGTCTTTTAATGAGGATGTGGATATTATTATTCTTACTATAATGCAATCTATTCTTCCCATATTAATAATGTATTTTACTGATGCTTTTATCCAAAGCACCTTAAAATTACACCTGTTTATACAGCTGGGCATTATACTGAAACAATTTGCATGACATACTGTACAGTACCACGCTCAATGGTACAGCAGAGTGCTTTTGTCTAACCTTCCAGCTTCAGTATGTCCTGAAGACTAACCACTGTTCCACACTTCTTTCTCAGCTGGGAACTTTGTGATTATTAAGTTTTAATGTTGTATCACCTGCACATTCATACAGTATTACAACTTCAAAAAAAAAGTAAGTGAGTTTCTTCTTTCAACACATATCGGACAGTCATTCTGCATCTGTTGAGAATAGGCTTTTTTTGTTTCTATACAAATACACAGAATGAGGCAGAGTTTTGGTCAACCCTGTGTGCGGTCTATTGGTCTCAATACATTGGGGGGAACCTGAAATGCCACAGGAAGTTATTTACAATGCTTGTAGGTCTAACCTGTTTTGTGGAAAATCTGTACAGTATGTTCAACTAACTAGTGCGTGAAACACAACTGCTGACACATGAGAAAATGCTGACTGGGCGACACCAGCAACTGCTGCCTCTGAATGGAGCCAGAGACAAGAGCGCACAGGGTGGACAACAGGTCCAGCACTTCAGGCATGGCAGTGGTTTCTAAGTCATGAGGTACTGAAGGGCATCCAGTACTTGTTCTTCATGTGGTCTTCACTTCATTGTAAGGAAACGGCAAAGACACAAAATGCTCTTTCCTACCATTCCCTGCCTTTACAACGCAGAAAGACATACATGAGAAAATATTAAGGAGACACTCAGTCTCCTTCATGTTGCAATAACAGTACAGCTGTCAAGATTATGGGACTGTTTTTTGGACCATTTAAGATGTGATTTCCAAAGTTCTTAACAAGCTGGTGCAATATGAAGTGTCACACGTGCAGCCAGCTTTCGTACATCCCATTTCAATACGTCAGAAACCTCACTGGCACAACTTCTCCATCCGTTTCTAACGCATTATTTCAAATGAATTATTCATCTAGGGGTGAGGTACAAGAACAAATTACCTCTGCCAGTGTTTTTAATTAAAAAAAAAACATTTCTAAAAATCCTGCAAAACATCGCTGTGCTTGCTTATGTTACCAAACATAACCATCTGTTTTATGACAGGTTTACAACTCTTACTGTAAGTCTTAAGGACTACCGGCCCTAATTATTCTATGTGGAATACTAGAAATGCTTCATATTCAGGTGCTAATGAGTTATTAATGCAATTAAATCACTGTTTTCACAATGCATTATTGAAATAATACGCATTGCATATTCCTTGTATTGTACATTTGTACACTGGGACAATGTGCGGGAGTCCTGACTTGCTTTTGCCCTTGAATTGTGCTTCTATAACAAATAAGGCTAATGGATCTTAATATTTGAACCCATGGAAATGTGACTGAACTTTAATGCAGACAAGAGCGCAAAGTACGGTGCCTATAGAAACTAAGTGGATCTCTACAACAACAGCTCACAGAAAGTAAAATGGCATTCCGTTTCCTCTATGGGAGCCTATGGGTTTATAGGGTCCTTTCCAAAGCAGCACATTAATCAGACTTTATTTTACATTTATTTGTAGCACACAACCTACAAGTGGGAAACAATTCTGAAAAGTAATTACAAATGAAAACCTAGAAAAACAGGTTAGGTACTGTATGTGTACACATCCCTTAGTAAAAGCAATTTGAAATGAGCTTACCACTTGCCTTCCAAATCACACAACATAATACACATGGAACCTAATTAGTATTCAACTCTGAACACACTACTGTATATTACTTCAATGTAACAACAACAGGCACAGCTCTAAGATGGGTAGTGCTGATCTTGAAGAATCATTTTTTTATGTTGCCTCACTGTCATGTCTTTCCTTAGACAGGGTATGAATATGATATAACAAAGTCCAGAAATAAGCTAGGATACACTGAAAACACAGACAAACTTAAATGAAGATATGTTCAACATTCTAAAGTCCACTTAGTATTAAAAATATTCTGTGCAATTTTAGTCACCTCATTACAGAAGAAAATTGTCAGGTTAGTTAAATTTTAAAGAGCATCGAGATTATTTCCTTATTTACAATGTAATACACAGACAGGTGAAAATAAAATAAAAAGCCTTCAGTTTTAGGCTGAACACAGATGACTTTATACAACTCCTGAAAGGTAAAGCTAATCTAATACACTACCACAAGATCATCAGTAAAACAAGACCCAGAGAACACAAATTAAGACAAAGGGATTTTCAGAATAAGAAGAAAAATGTCCTATTTGCACCAACTGTGGTGGTTGTTTGGAGTAAACATCTCCATCTTAATGATGGAGAAGCCAACTCCATAAGACCTTTCAAGAAAAGACTCATATCCGTGTCATTAGTAGACCAACAAGCCCATTTCCTTGCATTGTTTAATTTTTTAGACCTTAAAAGTTTTCCTTCTAATTAATTTATAAACTGAAAAGCGAATAAAATACCCTTATAAATCAGACACCATGGTAACTTACACTAACTATTCAAATGCTTAATACTGTGAACTGATAAAGTACATACAGTATATATATTTTTCTTTTCAACAATTCATGTTTAGGATTACAGCTAGACTTTTTGCTTCTTTGCACAGGGATTTCATGTCTATTCAAAAACCTGAAGGACACTACAGGCTGGCTGGAGCTGCTGTATCTCACTATGTGGGCTGCAGTTATGTTCTGAATCATCTCACCAAAAAAAACCTTGGATTTTTTTCCAGTGACTCATTATGCAAAGCCAATTTAAATTCAAGATATGCTTCCTCCTTACCACGCAGTGAACAGTAAAGTCTATTTGCTTCTATCTGACACTCAGAGTGTCAGAGCAAAAACAAAGATCAGTTTGAAGTATGATTTTAAGCATGAAGAAGCACTTCATACTCAGTTCTATTTAGACGTAAACTGAAACAGTCTCTAAAATATTACAAGAAATTTGGTGGCCTCACAGAAACCCGTTCAAAGAGGCCATCTTCTCTATACATTTAAACGTCATTGCAGTGTTACAATGTGCTAATCACCTTTTCCTAATTCATAGGATTGAAATAATCTCTAAACCACAATCAACCACCCTCTGTGGAATGCACAAATCAGCCCAAAACATCTTCTTTCAAACTTCTAAAATCTTAGCAGTATTGTTCCTGATTTCCTTTTTCTAATGCAAGCTTCAACCATTTACATAATCACATCTGACACCCAAATTGCTGGCTTCAGTTGAAGTGATGCTTTAAACAAAAAAACAAAACGCACATGAACGTATTCTTTGGGGAAAACTGTATTCAGACTTCCATCCACTTTCTAACCACTTCTTCCAATTTAGGGTAACAGGGAAATGAATCCTATCCCAGCAAGCACCTCGCACAAGGCAGGATGAACCCTGAATGAGACACCAGTCCATCACAGGGCACACACCCACACCAGGGATAGTTTTCCCAAAAGCCAATGGTGGTGGAGGAAACCAGAGATCCCGGAAAGAAACACACAGGAAGATAGGGAGAACATACACCCTCCGCACAGACAGCACACAAGGTCTGGAATTGAACTCGGGAGCCCAGGACTGCTAATGCAGCAATGCTAACTGTTACTGTTCTGCCCTTCAGGCTTCCAATAAATGTCAAAATATCAAGCCTTTTTATGCATCAAGCAACAGACTGGCTACTGCCCAGTTGTACAGGTGATTAAGCCTGGCAGTAGTATGCAGTGTAAGTACCCTTCAATATTCAGGAAAACTGCTATAGGGACTATTTAACGATATTTGCTTGTTAGAAACCCACATGGAACTGTATCTGTCAATAATGCTTAATTTACTGTCTTACAATCCATGGAGTTTCAGTAAAAGACCACGGTGAATCAGTGCTTGGAGCAGGTCTTTGGACTGGAGGAGGAAACCAGAGGTCTCGGAGAAAAACCACCGTGGCAACGGGGAGAACATGCAAACAGACCAGTCGGTCTGGGCCCACAGAATGAGAGGCTACAGCGCTTACCGTTTATATTGCCAGTGAAGACCACCACAGCTTCATAACCATGGTATTAGAAAACGTTAAGATGTTTAATACTTGATTTTTTGTTTTGTTTTCGTGAGTTTAGATATAGCTAACAATTAGGAACACTGAAATGTACATAGAGTAGTTTCATCGAGAAGCACTGTGCAAGTTGGCAGTGACGGTTTGCAAATTGCCTTGCGTTTACATTACTTGTGTTTCTCTATGAGATTCATACATTGGATTTGTAAGTGAAATGGCTTACAACACCTTCTATACCATACATGGTAAAGCCTTCTAGAGAGGTGTGAATATCCAGTTATTTTTTGTTCAACCATCCTAAACACCTTACAATCCACCAAAGCAACAATGGCAGGTGTTTGGGGAGATTAATTAAGGTGAATGTGGCACAAAACCTAACAAGTATATTTAATATACAGTATGTGCAAATATTCACTCAGCATCAACAAAGACTCTCAGCATTTGCTTTCAGGCAATATTTTGAGCATATTACCCAAATTAGGAAATGAACAGGGCAAATATGACCTCTGTCTAAAATTTCGAGTTTGACTCATTGCTCAACTGTGGCATCATCCTGGTATAATCTGTGAGATTTTGGTGAACAGCACAACTAAAGCACACTGATTAGCATGTACAGTAGCTGAACCAAACACTGTATGCATTAAAACATCGTACATAATAACAGAAAAATAAACATACCAGAAGATGCTTCTAACCTCTCCAACCTGCTGATTAACCAGTCCAGGGAGCCAGAAAACTGAGCACAGTTTTTGCGATTTCCTCTTATTAGTGCCGCTTGGGAAGGAAAGCGAAAATAAAAACAAGAAACTTGTTTCAATTGCATTCCTAACAAGTTAAGATGTCTTGTTCTTACAATCATGTTCTGGGACTGCAAAACCATGTTCTTGCCATTTTTCTTTTCTTTGGAGAAAGTAACGCATTAAAATTGGAACAAACCAGGCTCATGTGACATACATACAGCTATCTGACAACCTTTAAGAATTAAAAGAAGATTAAAATTGAGATTACAACAGAAGCCAGATTATGACTCAAAAATTATTATGCACAGCTTGATCCCAATGAAAATAATTAAGATGTTGTTGCTCCTCACAGTTTGCTTAACGAAGCAATATCCACAGGAGATCAGAGCATGTTAAACTACCAGGATCCTTATTAAAGATTTGAGCTACAATTCTGCAGCTATCCCCCTTCAAGTTGGGTTCTAAACACTGAAGTATTGCTAAACCTGCCATTATTCTACCTTGCTGTATCACATTGACAGACATGTTTCCTGTATGTTGCAGAATGCTTAAAATTTTAGCTCCTTTTACATACATTTGGAACAGTATATTGCATATTCTTCTAATGCTGTCCTGCATGCTTCATGATATCTTACCTAGTAACTCATATAATGAGTTTAATATCGACTTCCAGGCATCTCCGGCTTCTTTTCCAGCTACATCAGCAAAATGGGCTGCACTGCTGTACACGTGTAAACGGTCAATACATTCAAGAACCAGGTTGATCATGCCCTAGGAAGAACAAATACAGCACAAAGTTGGACAGCAGAGCTTTCCAAGAAATCTGGTGTCTAGCAGTACGAACTGTTCTCCTAACCCAGTAGACTCGCACGTACCTAAAATGAAGTCACTTCGCAAGTTAACATATACTGTACTCCCATTAAAATGATCTGTTTCTAAAATACCTCTTAATTGGTCATGTTTTCTTCAAGCTAGAGTGCCACTACAATGTCCCCAGTGCTTTCATTGTAGACACAAATCCTCGAGTTCTTATATATTAGGGCCTGGTGGAATTGACATGTGCTGCTGTAGTGTCCTAACCCTGGCAATGCCGGGCAATTACACTAGTTCACTCATTCCCAATGCCAAAGGCAAAGTGTCAGAGAACTCCTGGTGAATACCTCTTCCTGGAACAGGTTCTGTCTGTTCTTCAGCGCTCGGAGTCTGTTCTGTTTGTCCTCGTGCTCCAGATGTTCATCAGGAGGTTGAAAGTAGCCAATCAGGTCCTGAAGGCTGAGGCTGACGGACTCGATTGGTAGATCTGCACTGGAGGATTTCCCTTTCTTGCTCAGAGCATCAAGTCCCCTAAAATACATGACAAAACTGACATCTTCCCTCTTCAGAGCCATTAAAGATTGATTGCTTAAGCAATGCATATGCTGTGTACTGTATTTTGTATTTTCCAAACCCATTTTTTATTTGCTTTATCTACTACAGGCTTGCGAAGGAGCCAAAGCCTATCGCAGCAAGCAAGGGGCACAAGGCGGGATACACTCTGGACAGGACTCCAGTCCATCACAGGGCTCACACAGACATAGACACATTCACACCAGGGGTAACCAGAATTGAACCCAGAGCCCTAACCACTGTGCCACAATGCTGCCCGTGTTCAGAGTTTTAAAACTTTACATTTAATGTCTGAGATTAACTTTTCTCCTTCTACACTCACTTTAGGTTCGGGTACTTTGGTGAATTTTTCTTAAGTCATTTCCAAGGGACTGATTATAACTGCCGAGAAGCAGAGTTCAGCAACCTCTGCTTGTCCGTTTTATTCAAAGGACTTGATTTGGATTTGCAGGTATTATTCTTGTGATAATCACTCCTCGTTCAGATAAATCAGCAGCTGTTTTCCCATAAAAGTGTTTCACAATTTACTAAGCACAATTTAATGGAAGAGCTTCTCTTAGGAGTGTGACAAAACTCAAATTACATGCCTGCTTTATAGAAAATATGAATAAAATGAAAATATAACCAAGACAGATAGAACTGATATTACTGCAAGTGGAGCTATAAGGTTTATTAATGTGAAATATACTGTATATACAGCAGTGTTACAACAACTGAAAATATTATCAGGAACTTGATTCCATTGGCGTCCATCATATTCTGAATGGGTCGTTCCAATTCGTTGACTATAGGCGGAAACTGTGATTCCATGGTTCTGATGAAAAGGGAGTGGGAGGGAGCAAGCAAGGACCTGATGTGCGTACCTGATGAACCTGTTGAATAGGAAGACAGTACTGCGGATGACCCTCGCCGTGCGGGACTCCTCGTGCTGGGACCTCGACAGTGTGAGTCCATCATCCATGTGCCCTTCATGGTGCATTATTGCCTGAAAGAATGAGGACTACTGTATGAGCTGCGCAGAAGCAGACTGGCCCAAACAGAATTCTCAGATCACAAGGGTGCTAGTCCTGTGTCTTGGCCACATTTCCCACTGGCCTTGACCAATCACAGCCTCCGGATAATCGCATTAAAATGGGTTCAAAATTCTGTTCTCCTCCCCAATGAGAGCTGATGTGTGGAGTGTGTACTGGCACACTCTAGGTGATACACATGGTGGTGGAGGGGAGTCCCCATTACTTTAAAGTGCTTTGAGAGCTATATACTGTAAGTGTAATTAATTATTACAAATTATTTCACCATGCTATAGATACAAATCAACAACCACTGTGTCACTTTTTCTTCATGCACCCTATTTATAAACAAGTTCAATCAATGAACTATATACACAACTAACAAAATAAAAGACCTAAAAATACTTAATTCTACATTATAATTCTCTAAACAAGTCATAACACAATTGTTTCTAAAAGGCAAATCTTATTTTCCACTAATACTAGTCGAAATAGTAGGCATAAACCAAAGAAAAAAAATAATGACAAAAACGATTCTGTTTAATCATACAGTAGCAGACGGGTCACTTTATCGGGGAATCACAGAACTTTGGACAATTTCAGTTTTTTACAGTTCTGATTTTCTAACGTCAAGTTCAGGCTCACAACCCAGCAAGCCTTTCCCTTTCCATGGCTGCAGAATGACCAATGAGCGAATATTACCTTGCGCTGCACAGAGCCCATCCGTGCACATTTGGCGTCCACAGCCTGGTATGTGAGCCAAAGACAGGTGTCCACATGCTGAATGTAACACACAGAATCCCCGTACTTGATATCTGGGACTCCCATTCCATCCACCTCTTTCTTAAATCCTAAGTCCAGTTTTTCCTGAAAGCATTTACAGAACACATATTACAACTATTACAATTAACAGAATCCCAAAACAACATTCACATGCATTTGTAACTATAAAAAACATTTTTTTCTCCAAAATCAGACCTCCCCAGATCTGCACAGGTTTGATTTAACAATTGTAGAAATACCAACAATAAAAGATGCAACTGCATTAATGTTAAAAACACAGATCTGCCCATCTCAGAGCTTCAATGGATGACATTCATGACTAAGAGGTGCACAGACAGGCATCACACAATTCAGAAGGGAATTCATCTTTTTTTCTTTTTTTTTACGAAGGATTTTCTGTTCAAATAATACCTTTTCTCCAAAACACTTGAAACACAAAATACTAGGCCAATTCAGATCTAGTGAATGTGAGTCTCACTCATGATAATAAAGCCTTCTCTGACAGGCTAAACATTCCTGATGCCCAGTCAATCATCAATCAAGCGTCAGATTTTTTAGAGAGAGGGTTGTTTCATTTTGACAGGCTCCTGTATACATGGTTGACTGGAATCAAAGCTTTCTGTGTATAACCTGCCTCCGATTTCATAACCCCTAGTGCTTGAGAATTTTCCAAAGCCTGCCTCTCAGGAACAGGAAGGGAATACACTTATGGAGGCATTAACTATGAAAAGCAAACCTTTCTGACATTTGCTTAAAGAACTGTGGCACTGGAAATATTGCTGTCAAATATATATATTATAATTTGCATAATATGGCAGGAGGGACTATTTTGAGCTGGTCTTCACTCTAAAGACATTCTCTTCTCCTTTCATAACTCAAGACCGATATCTTTACTACAACCATTTGGGGATTTATCTGCAGAGTATGTTAAAAAAAGACTGTCATGCTCTCTCAGTTTAAGAAGAACATCATTATAAAATATAGTTGGGTTAACTTTTTCCATGAAATATAGCAGAATAAAAAACCCAGCTGAGCAGCAAATGTTTAAATTTTGATTTTAGACCTCCCTAGTTCGAGCGAGGGTTTCAAGCCCGGTCAGCTGTTCAGAAACCTGACATGGACAATCCTCCATGCCTTAAAAGCATCCTTTGATCATGATACTGGAACCAACAGTTCATGGTCTCAGCACCATTTTTAAATATTCTGAAAATATGGCAATAGTTACTACTGCGATGTTGGTTTTTGGTCAGTATACTTTAAAACAATAAATCACGCTGATCTTATATGAAGAAAATACTGTTACGATAACATTAGTGAAAATACATTTGCTTTATAACATGCATGTGGCCGTGGTCAGGCCATTATAGAAAAATGATTAATTAGATGGTGAATAAATGTTATTCACCAGCCAGGGGAGGCTGGTTTACAACACATGCAGTATTCTGCTCCACGAGTTTGTTGGCACTCTCGGTGTCTTTAATAAAATGTGATGGTCCAGACTAGAGAAAAGCCACTAAAATCCACTTTAATCAGAGCCGCCCTACAGGGATTGCAACATTTATTGCTTGGTCACGCTTTGAAAAGCTGAGATCTCTGCAAGTCACACCGACTCCTGAAGTACTGGCAGTGCAATCTGCAGGAAGGGAAAGTACCCTGTCAGAAGACTGCAATTATCTAGACATGTCACTGATCAGAGTTACTTACCATAAAAGAGAAGCACATCTCTTAAGTGCCAACAAACATAATCTGCCCTAAATCTAATAAAAAGGAGCTGGAAAACAACTCATAAGGGCAAAAGAGTCTGCTTGCTCAGTCATACAAAATAGTGTTACCGTCTAATGTCACCTGCAGTCACCTCAGTTCAGAAAGCGAAAAATGAAAACCCAAGGTTCCAATTAAATTCATATACAAATACATTATATAGCAAAGTACAGATGTATCCAGGAGAGGATTAGAAATATTGCATCAAACACTTGCATTTAAAACTTGCACTCAGATAATGATAAAAGTATAATGATAAGAAAACAATGACTCTGAACTTGCAGCTACCACAGATCAAAAGCCTGGGGGGGCGGAGCAGCAAATGTTTACATTTTGATCTCTTAGTCCTTTGTAGTTCCATAGCTGCACAGAGCCATTTCATAATCATCCCCCTCTAACAAACACAACACATATCAGTGTGTCTGCCGCAATTTCCGGAACTTATAAACATCCCGATAGCAATATTAACAGTGAGTGCTATGACAGGTAATATGATTCTACAAAAGCACACCAAGCCTGGCAGTGATAAGTATCATGGTGGCAAACACATTTTAAACAGAGAGGTCACAAAAATACAAAAGACAGAACACTAAAAAGCTTTAAAAATCCAACCTTGGAAGACCGGAAGCAGAAGGCTGTGGATTTCACATCTGCTTTTTCTTTGTCCATAAGAAGGAGGCCCTTGTCATCCATTAAGCTGAGGTATTTCCCTGTGGTGACATGCCTTAGCCGGAATGGCTGTCCCCATCGGATATGGCTTCCACTCCATCTGGAATAAAGCATGCCCAGAGGCAGTGAGTTTCACATGCTGATACCTCATTTCTTACAGGTTTCTTAAAGCCATTTCTTGTTTTCATGTTGAATAATAATCTCTGTGGCAGTTGGCAGTTTTTTGTCAAGCTAGTTAAAATCAATGTTCTCATTGAGGTCCCTGTGAAAGCTTTGGGATGCTGCTTGGGCCATGGTATTTGTGCACCTTTACTATTGATACAATGTATAATGTACTTGAATTAGACATTACCTCGATATTTAAAACCCCACGTATTGGAGAAGCATTGAGACAATATTATTTATTGTTGCTGTATAAAAATCTACTACAGCAAATGATACCCCAGGGTTACCACAATACAATGGAAACATTAGAAGGAAAAAAAAACAGATTAAATATTTTGTGCTGCACAATCCATAATTATTTCTATTTAAATGAGAGTGAAGTGCAGAAAACCTTTGCCAGTGAACAAGGTCTAACAATTCCAGTCAATTACCATACACCAGGCTACCAATACATGTCTTCATATACTGTAGGAAATTCTGATCGTATGATGGCTTATGAGCCATCAGAGGATATTAAGCACAAAACTGATCTTAAAGGATTTATCTGTTAATCTAACCTCCTTTAGTCCAGAGTAATCTTTGTGATAAACACAAAACTACTGCTCTACATGTCAATTTAATTTTTTTAACATATAAACTAAGAAACGCAAATCATCTGTGACTCTTGAACCGTGCTCTAGCTCTGCAAGGAAGGAACTCATTCAGGTACTTGAATGAGCACATAATGTATTGATGATGCATTTGATGTATTGTACATGTACAAAAATGTCTTGGCTTCGGTGGAGAAAGTCATTTAAGTAGAATACTTTCCTTATTTTCAATTCAGGTACTGATGTGAATGATATCATTCAATGCACAGGGTCCTGATAAGTAATTTCATGTTGGTCACAGATAAAGGACTTGTTTATCTCTGTCAAGGATGCTCCTTGCTTATAATCATTTTTCATGCTAACAAAATGTGCAAACTCCAGCTGAAGATGGATGTTGCATCATGGTGTCTATTGCAGAACTATGACATCAAATATAGGAATTTGATTAACTGTGAGAGTGAGGAACCATAAGATAAATGGATATATAGGGTAATTTTAAAACAAAATATTTTCAGCTACATGGTGAGACCACTCTGAACGCCTGTCTGAAGGAATGAATGAAAGATCACTTTTGAAGGTAAAATGTTAAGAGATTCGCATCTGGCCTGAATTTATAGCTCTTTCAGATTTTTTACATCACTTCTTAATAACAAAAGTTCTCAAAGGCAAATTTTTGAGTACATACAGAGTTAGCCCCGTCCTGTCTTTTGCAAAACAGCTGTGATGCTGTGATGTGTATTTCCTGAAATGCAGCATCCTGGGTTATGTGTACATGTGTGAAGATTATCTACGTGTTGCGGGACATACAGTACAGAAAATAATTCTGAATTTCACTGACCAAAACATTACGCTGCCATTCCACATCCCTCAACGTCTTGAGAGCAACATGAAAGAAGAATAAAAATGAGTCTTCCATTATCTCTCACTTACGCAACTCTAAGGGTCTCCAGTCTCCACAGAGACCGGGCGTGAATGGACACGGCTCCGCCCTCGTAGTGCACTGTCCTGCAAAACCGAGGAGAAGCCGGCTGTGAGATTGGGAATCCAAAGCATTCAGTTTCAACCATCCAGATGGAAGCTTAGACTCCAACTGCAGCAGCAGATTCTGAAACACTGTATAGAGATTTGCAGTTCAAAGATTCTGAGACACATTTACATTTTTGTTGTCGTTGTCGTTTAGTTGACAGGCAAAAATATGAACATCTGTAACAATGCACCCGCAATATGGGCTCAGTTAACAATTTGTTTATTTCTTTACGGGACCTCAGAGGCCAAAACCCAGGCTGCTAGCAAGTGTGAACTGCAGAATGAGGAACCACTTACTGCACAGCCAATAAGTCATTTGAAATGATCCAGAAAAGATCGCTAAGCAGGCTAACACATTGCATGGCTTTAAATTCTCTCCAGCCTCTCAGCATTCTACAGTACCTAACTTTACTGGAGGGAAGCGTGCATTAAATCATCAATTCATTAAATCATAAATTCTCACAGGTATTCTAAAAAAAATGATTTAGCCACCACATACAGTATGAAAGCATACTATAAATGTGTCTTAATGGGTTTTTCAATTCTATAAACTGTTTATGCACTTACAGTATGATCCCTCATGAAAACTGGTGATCCATTGTATGATAAATGATTTACTAATAAGATAGACATAGAATCACACCCTGAACCACCAAATAACTACAATCCACATTTCAGTCTTAGAGACCAGCACACTTAAGCAGTGCATTTAAAACTGAGAACATTACGCACTTCTTTACACAAAGGCTTGTGGAAGTAAGGAAGAAGGTATGCAGCCATCGTGTTGAAGCTGATACCTCGGCTTCCTTCAAGAAATGGCTTGGTGGGCTCAACAGGCTCCTCTCATTTACAACCATACTTCAAACATCAAGTGTCATATCTTGGTATGTGGTACAAAACCAGTCACTAGCTTCTACCACCAAACCAGGAACTTCTTTTTTCAATAGCCATGCCTTCTAAGTTTAAAGATGAAAGTTGAGCCCGATTCAGTCCTGTGCAGTATCAATGAATTTTACTTGGAGCTCTTGAGAAGTCTTGTAATACAACAAACCTCTAAGGAATATATCAATGAAATATGAATTACTGGTAACTGTGACTCCAAAAACACGATGTAGTTCAAATGTGCAATCGAGGCTTTTGTAAAGCCTACTTTCCCTCTTGAACAGAGAAGTAGGTACGTAAGCAGTGGCACGTTCATGACCTTCCACAGCAATAAACTAGTTGGATCCACAGGGAATGTCTGCTGGCTACGAACGGTCTTAAATGAAGCCAAAATCTGCAGACAGCATTCTCTCTGAATTTTTAATGGGCTCGGAATAAGTTAAAGACTCTTTGGAAGTTTTTTTTTTTCTAGCAGTAATAGGCTTGCAGCTGCAGCCGGAACTAAATTAAAAGAAAATTTGAGCAAAGCAGCTCCTGTACAAATCTGAAACAACAAATTCTTCTTTTCAAAGTTGCACAGCTTTTAAATATGTTACACCAGGAATTTGAAAAGAAAAACAGAAAATAGTTGAAAGCCATTACTGGTAAATTGCTTTAGCTTTGGAAGTACTGTACACACTGTCGTATACTTTATGGCCTGTCGCGGCCGGACAGCAGCTTTTCCATAGCTGTAGAGGAACATTTATCTAGGGGCAGCGCAGGCAAAAAGGAGCTCCACCAGTGACACTATCAGGAAAAGAACACAGAATCCAATAGCAAAGTAGTCAAATGCAAAGTCTTGAAAAATAAAAGCCTAGCTTAGAGGGCAATCATTGTCTCAGGTAGCTGGCTTTGCTACACTATATCCCTACAGAGGAATGCTATCCATTTCCTTTACAACTGGGTTTGCGGCAACCTACAACACAAAAAATACGATTTTTGTTTTTTGAAGAACAGACTTCCGTGACTGCCCTGGTTTTGCAACGTAACCTTCTCACAGACTACATGCAACTCAAAGAAACAAAAGTGTCTTGCACACAAATCACCCAATACAGAAGTAAAGAACTCATCAGTCTGCAGAGCAACCACCACAATTAAGCAGTTCAATATTCAAGCCGTATTTATCCAGTTACACGTTGATGAGTACATCTAATTTGCAAGCAGCTATTTTCTGTAACTGCTGCATGCAGGAAAAATGGATGAAGCAGTGCAAGCCTTTGATTAGTCCATTACAGATATCAGTGAGAAGAGCAAAACAATCAGAAAATATGCAAAACCAAGAGTGCCTGCACACCAATAGGTTAATTCCAAGCTCACAGAATGGTCTCAGCGTAATCAAAGGACAAGTTCACAGCCTTCAAGCACCCTCATATTGCTTACAGCACAGATACAAGAAACACAATGTGATGCATGACTGAAACACTATGAAGTACTACTTCAAAGAGAATGCACAGATTTGATTGTAGCAGTCACATAAATTTGTGCTGTGCATACATTAGCAAGAATATGCTAAATGTTTGTGTTTTATAATCCATATGCTTCAAAAATCCTTTGCATTCTCTGAACAGGCTGTTTACTCCAATTTTTTATTTTTCTCCTACAGTTCTATCTCGAAAAAAACAGCATCAGAGACAAAGGTAAACACAGTCTAAAACAACTTTGACTAAGGACTTTGGTGAGAAAAAAAAAACAAACTTGTCAATCTTTATTTCAAATTAGTTAGCATCTTCAAAAACTACATCTCAACTCAATATGAACTGCTCCATGGCTCAGGATCTGCGCCTGTGGCTGGAAGGTTGCCAGTTCGTATCCAGAGGCTGGTAGAGGAATCCTACTCCGCCGGGCCCCTGAGGAAGGCCCTTAACCCCAACTCCTCTAGGGGCGCTGTACCATGGCTGACCCTGCGCTCTGACCCCAAGCTTCTCTCCCTGTCTGTGTGTCTCATGGAGAGCAAGCTGGGGTCTCTGAAAAGACAAATTCCTAATACAAGAAATGGTATATGGCCAATAAAGTGATCTTATCTTAGTGAAATAAGAAGTGTTGTAGCAGCTAATGCACTGTATTTAACAGTCAAATTAACTCATTATCATGTGTTCGTCATCATTAATATTATTTGTTCCTCTCTACACATCCATAAAGCTACTGTATAAGGATGCTATTGTGCAGTTGCTCCCCAGTATACAGTACATGCAGGTTTGGGACCAGAAAAACACTAAATATAGCAAAACGGCATATAAGATGAATCATGTAAATATGGAGGGTTCAGGACTGTTAGGGTGTAAACTTTGCCCATGTGACTTAAAGTGGGAGGCTATTCACATAGGAATTAAGTGAACAGAGTCACTATTGGAAAGAAGATGTTGATGCTGTCTATTTCTATTTGTTGGTTTTTATGAGTTATTGATACATGAAATGTATGTTCCTGTGTCTGAACTGCATGTTGGGAATTTATTTCAAGCTAATTACAGTACATAGAAAGGGGAATTAATATCTGTAAAGAATAATGTCATTTTGCTATAAGTTGCATTAATTTGGAACATACTGCACCTCTGACTTACAGTATAATTGGATCCTCTGTGTTGTATTTGGTGGCTAAAGAAAAAAACATTGGGTCTCTTTTCTTTCCTTTCATCATTGAATAAACCTACCACGGAATAAATCTTCCTTTGCAACTTTAAATGTGCAATTACAACATGCTGAAAGAGCACCCCAGCTTTGACTAGATGGCTACCTGACCACCACTTCACTGCTTTGCCAAGATGCATTCTGTACAAAAATGTGAATCTTCAAATGTAGGAGTTGCAATGCTTCTCAAACCTTCTGTCAGTGGCACCACCAAGAATCCCATGGAGAAGCGCAGTTCCCGAATGAAGGTTTATATTGCGTACAGGACAATCTGAACACTGTCCTATATAGATACTCAATATTAAGATACAGCAAGTATCTCTAAGTATTTAATGCTGTTAATGTGTATCTTCAACTCCAACTCTGAGAAGCCCCAAGAACTGACTTGGTAACAGTAACATTTGTGTCTACACCTCATACACACTGCCTCCTGGGGAATATCAAGACTCTTGAAAGACCTCAGGAAAGAATGCATGCTGCATGACAAGGTGACAAATATCAAATGAAGTCAGACAGTGAAAGCTGTCAGAGGAAGAGACACTAATGGATTAAAATGGAAAAAAACGAAATTCAGAAACAATTCAGTCATCTTCTTAAAGCTGACACACAAAACTAGGCGTGCACATGAAGCATTTCGCAAAACAGTATGGGGAGGAGAGACTGCATGGCAGTGAAAGCAGACTAGACTGAGACTGCAATGCAGTCAGCCTAGGCTAACACCTCTTAAACACACTGGGCTGTCATGTGGTACAAAAATGTGAAGGACCAGTGATTTACTCCTTTTAAAAGTCCTCTTAGTATGCACCTAGTGAGAGCACAGAGCTGCCTTTGAATTATGTTTTCATTCCTGAGGTTTTCCTCTGTGTGGAGAACATGAGCATGGTTCAGTGAGGATAGCTGGGGGACTGAGGAGGGGGGAACTGGAGCTTAATCTTACACCTGACTCTCTCACGCCAGTGATGCATCATCAGCAACAGACAAAGGCACGCGGCAAACAGGTTTTCTGGGCAGGAACAGCAGGAATATAAAGCATATAAATATTTTCATTATCAGACAAGGTTCTGTTAGCGTTTGCATCTTCATGCATGCACGTGCATGCACTCATTTTTATCTCTCTTCCGGTTTTTCATCTGTTCAGCAGGCAGCATTAATCCTGGTTTCCTCTGAACACAGCTCTAGATACAAAACTCATTTGGTCTACTCTGTGTAAAATGTGGTTATGTTTTGTTGTCATAGGTTTTGTTATTCTGCTGTATTATTATGTTCTCAGGATCAAAGATGAAGAAAAATGCTCAAAATGTGCCCAGCAAAAGAGCAGGAAACAATTTTTCAGACGTTTACAGCATAAAAAATTAATCCTTTCTAGGAGAGCTTTAAAGCAGTTTTGCTTGGAATACACTTCATATCTAAATTTGTAAATACAGTTGCTGTGCCATTGTAAGGATGCAAGTAATAGGTTTATTCCATGCTGAAAAAAAGAAGAAAGAGAACACAACGTTTCGGCCGTGGAGCCTTCTTCAGGTGTTGTGTTTTCTTTCTTCTCTTTTCAGCATGGAATAAACCTATGACTTGTTCCTTTGAAGCCTACGCATGCTGACGCAGCTGCCCACCTGAACTACTGCATTCTAAGGATGTATAATTTCACATGAGCTGTAAAGATGATGAATTCATTAAGTTGGCATCTTAACTTTGAACTAAACCATATCTGGAATATTTAGAATGTTCTTCAAAATACTGTTGCGTACAACTAACAAGTATATATTTTTAAAATAATTTGCAGGGCACAGAGAGCAATGCAATATAACATTCCCAAATGTATCATTTATTTTGTTGTTTAAAGGTACAGGGTAAACTTTTATTCATTTTTCAGTCACATATTTAAGTAAAGCATGATGCATATTTTATGCATAAAGGGATTTATATTATGTTGGTAATATACACCTTTACTAAAACAAAATGAACATTTTATAGACAAAAGGAAATCTCACAGGGCTGTACCAATCTCTCTCACTACAAATACAAATACAAACCCATGCAGGTGGTTTTGTATCTAATCAGCTGAGACTTAATCAACCCACAGTAAATCCTCCCTCTGCAGAAAAACTACTAGGAACCAACAAGTCACTCACGAAACCCCTGATCTCTGCTCCTCAGGCTCACTGAGCTGTAGCCTCATCCCAGAACAGATTTCTCTTAACCCCTCGTTCTCTGACCTTCGCTGTTCCTCTCCGTGCTCTCCAGATGGCACAGTGAGACACTCGTCCATATGGCCATGCAGTAACCTCAGCACATCTCCACCGATGAGGTATCCTGCACAGAAGAAGCAAGGGCATACAGGTTTGAAATGTTCCACAACAGGGAAAGACCTGACAATATAAACCAATAAAAAGGCGTCCTTTAACCTGGATAAGCAGAGATTTCAGCAGTAATAGTTGAACAAAATTAATTTCATCACCCTTCTGGCTCACAAGGAAAAAACAAGATTCTACATCTTTTACACTAGAGTGGTCCCATCGATGAAACAGAACACCAGTACAGTAATTTCCGCCTGCAGACTTCACTGCTGCAGGAAATGAAGACTTGATAGTGCACAGGTCTGGTCCTCTCCACTAAACACATCAAACTTCCCCCAAATAGGAGGAAACAGAACAAAAGGGGGACTGAAGGGAGATATAGGGAGAAGCCCGGATGAACAGTGGGAAGAGCTCAGGGCAAGGAGAGGAAGGCAAACAGGCCCCCAAGACAGTCAAAGAAAACGAAAAGGAAACTGGAAGACCGATTTCCTGTCTTCTTTAGCTTGTTTTACAGGGTTACTTATTATTTTAGGACCAAGCACTCAAGTGTGCCTCAGCTGAAGACGTCTTTACATACTGCGTAACTCACATGTCTGCAAACTGTCATTGCACAAACTCACTTGCTCTTCCAAATAAAAACTACTCTTGCACATTGAAGAGCTGCTTCCTGCAGTCAGTTGTCTTTCAACCTACAGCCTGACTCTCCTTTATCAAAGATCTTGGCGTAAATGCAAATCCACATCACATCAATCCACATCAACAATGTGTTAAACATAAATTCAACTGAACACATTAAAAAGTAGATCCAGTTACATTCTGGCACTTTTTTGTGTCTTACAACAGTTTTTTTTTTCAGAAGAGTTTCAATGAATTGCTTTATTAGCATAACAAATGGAAGAGAAAATGAAATCCCTTTCACACCTGTTTAATGCTATAATGAGCTGAACTCTGAAAGGCGTACATTAAGCATCCCATCTGTTTTCAGGTGAAGAAGACCATGATGAATCTTGGCAAGAGCTAGAGATAGACACCAACCTTGTGCAACTTCGCTCCCAGAGCATATCGGCGCCACGCTCCACAGGGTTTGCTGGAAGGCTGCATCAACATGCAGGCTTCCATTCCCATATGATAAATGCTGCAAGGAAAATGATGTCTCACAGTAACTGGAGGAAATAATATCAAACACTTGCTTCTCTGGCAGTGAAGAAGAGAGCAGATGGGGGGAAAAGGCAACAATAAGGGTAGAGAATTAAAACCGTTCACTGAACTTTCTGATTTAATGCATTTCCTTCCTGTGTGAATAATGGCACTTCACAGGGGTCTGATATACTGGATAATGGGAGTTACAAATTTGTCTGCCTGCGACTCTTCATTAATCGAGCCCATGGCAGGCCGCATGAAAGAATGTTGCCTTCTTTTGCGCAGTGACAGGTTTTCATTTCATTGTCAGTCTCCCGTCTGTCAACTTGGTGACCTGCCTTCTTTTGTTTTGAACAGGCATTAAAACCTTTCCAACATGCCGGGTGTTTAGTGTTTCCAAATGTCAACTCTAAAATAACCTGCTCTATAGTTTATAGTTTTAAAAACAATAACAAAAATCCTTGACAGGACCTGATGTGTATTTGCGAAAACATTCTAAAAAGGGAAGATATAGTAAAATAAAAAATGAACCAATTGGTTTTCTCTCTTTCTGGTACAGTAACCTCGCATGCAGCCTTGCACAGTTTTACACTTAAAACATGACATTCATTTTACTCTCCGTACTGTACTCACCAGGTACCGTTCTGAAGACACGCTGACCAAAATGAGGTCATCTCCTACCCTGACTTTCTCTCCTTCTGACCGCTGCTTGGATGCAGGATGTATTGTCCACCAGCAGGCTTCACCTAACAGAAGATTGCATTTGATATATAGTGTATCATTAGAAAATCTTCTACCTTTACATGCTAGAGTGATCACATCCCTTTGCTTTGTGGTCTTCGCAGAAACACAGAGATGAGCATAAAAACGGATGATTAAGAGACACAAATTCTATTTTTTTCAGCACATAACAAAGGTTACATATGAAAATATGCCATTAGGCTTATCGTGTTTGGTTTCTACCAAGTAATTAATCTAAGGATTTCAAGTTCTTCTTAAGTTTTGAGTTTTGTTTCATTTTGATTCACATTTTCTTCTTCTGCTCGCTTAAGAAACTCTTCACAGTTTAATCACTGGAAACAGAAGGCCATAACCACACAAAATCCTCAAATCAATGCCATTAAGCAGTCTGGTTATTAGTCACCTCTACCAGTCAGGTTATTCAGGGGAGTGCTGATACAGGACGCCTGCAGTTAGCTACCCTTCATCTTCTGGCTGCACCAGGAGATCGAACAGAAGGCAGTGGAAACAGAACTCTCTTCGGTTCAGTATATATCTATCAGCCCAGCAACAAGTCAGTCCAATTAAACAGCTACAAAACCCTACTTTATAGGAACATTGAGACATACATGGAAATTTTGATCTGTGCTGACTGAATTTTCTAATCTCTTAGGCATCAATATCAATACCGTCTGAAGTATAGTACCATTCATCCAAAACATTTATTTCTATATTGTCCTACCCTATTAAAGGACATCTCCAGAGCAAGGCTACACATGCTGTATTCTAGTTACGACTGGCAGCTCATCTAGCCCAGACACAGACTGTTTGCATACTGCTTTGAAGACGACTTCATACCACATAATAGCTGGTCCCAGAGTTGATATCACACTGTAGTACATGAGATGTGTCGAATTTCTGTCATACCTGTTGTATTTTCCTGCAATCCAACATCAAAAGCCAGTTTATCCGTTGAAGAACGTGATGTGGATAAACAACAAAGATACTGAAATGAAAAGTAAGAAGAAAATATTTGAAGTGTAAATCCAGTGACTGTGTACCACAATCTTCTTAAAAGAAATTCAGTTCTGATCGAAACTAGAGTAAGAAAAATAAAACATAGAAGTCTACAGACTGTCTGTTTAAAACTCCAAACAGTTTCTTAAATTAGGTGTCTTTGGAATATACAAAAGTTACACAGACCAAGATGACCACTCGGCCCCACCTTGTCTGTTCAGTTGTCAGAAGCACAGATTCCATCAGGCTATTTATTTTTCACATGAGTCATTATACCCCATACTGTATGTTAAATGCAAAATTACAATAATAGTAATATTTATGAGTGCAGCACAAAACACATTCTGCAGCACGACCAGTAGGATTAGTCTTTTTTTAGATTCAGATCAACGGAGCTTTTTATTAAGGCAGAATCCCTAAGGCTTATTGCATTGAGACTTGCTCTGGAGGCCCCCAAGTGGCTACTCTGAGGAAGACACTTGCTCAGAAGACAGGCTGAGCATCCAGCTAGGGCTGGAAGGGCTAGACCAGAGCCAGTGAGCCCTGGGACCTGCTGGGTGCCTGCAAGCTTGCAGCGACATGAGAGACGCCACTTCTCCACACACTGTTAACCACGCGTTAAGGCACTGCGGAGCTCGCGGCTTGTCCGACGGTAAACGGCTACAGCGGTTCTCATTCTTCCTGTGTCTTCAAACAGACACCGCCAGTGATGTGGTGTGAGCCCAAAATAAGAAGATGAAATGCATCACCTGAGCTTAAAACAGCGGGTGAAGTGATGAGATGTGAAGAGTGAAACCAGACAAACCCTTCTGTCCGTGCTGGTGACGTTCATATTAAACAGACAGCGGTTTATCCTCATGCACAGTCCAGACAACTCACCATTCCACTGTAGGAATGCCTGAGCAGCACTGCGTGTCCATACAGCAGGGTTCTGTGTCCACCCCCTTGTGCGGTCTGTTAAAAAAAAAAGCAATTTGCTTAGACAGAAGCCTGAACCGGTGCCACTCCTCCTGAGATCAAGTGGCAACGTTCCAGCTTATGTTCCTTTTGATTTAAAAAAGGTTCCCCAGCGCTACAGCAGTTTCAAAATGAAAACCGCAGATGCCCTGCCAGCATTTGTGTTTACAGTACATACTGATTTTTGTACGTTCACACAGATCGGTTTAACAGAGCATACTGTACGCATCTCTTCATTTTGTGTAGAATCAGACACTGTAATTCAATGTCAGTTT